CTAACACCATCAACAATGTCCCCCCAACCCTCAGAATCTAAGAAAGTAAAGAAGGAAATATTGTATTTTATCGCTTGCTCTTAGTACACCTTGCGGGCTCAAATGCTCCCCAGTTTCTTTAAACTTCGAGCTGGTCTACGACGGTCCCCACAGCTCACGGGCTGCTTTCTTCAGGGCCCAGGTGATTCTGGGCTGAAGGAGCCGGCTTCGGCGGAGCTCCGGTCTCCTCGCCTGACTCGGCCACCAGTGCCGTGCCAAGAGAAGCCCAGCTCACGTACGCAGGCGGCTTCCGGGGAGTCAGTGGCTCCCCAACTGCCTACAGAATGCTCAGTCGCGTCACTCAGTCCCACAAAGGGCACAATGAAATGGAATCACAGACAGCACGAGGGCCCCGCGGAAAACCAAGACCACGGGCTCACATTCACCACCACAGCCCCGAGGACAGGAAGGCGCACAGAGGCGTAACCCAGGGGACAGGCCTAGCAGGTCTGGTCTGTACTCTCTCTGGACGTGGGAACGTGTGGCGATCTGGGTGCCTCGTGGCAGACAGATGGAACGAGGTCTCTGCCAGAGACGGGGGTCAGCCAAGCAGACTTCTTAAAGCACTGCTGATGGAAATGAAAGCGAGACACGATCTAAGTGTCCCTTCACACCAAACTGATTAAACAAGTTCTGATACAATGATGAGGCCATGTGTGACCTTAAAATCTATGTGCTTCAAAAATGCTAAGGGACGTAGGAAAATAATTGGGACAACGGGAGATGTTGGAAATATATGTAAATAGATATGTACATAGTTGTCATGTAGCTATATATCACATAGATCTACAGGATTACTCTACAGAGAAAAAGTATACAATTATAAAGACAAATGCTAACCATGCAATCTATGGGAACATGGGACGTGAGGTACATGATTCTTATTTTTCTTAATTCGCTTTTGGGCATTTTCACTTTTCTAACAGTATCTCCTATAGTATTTAAAACTGCGGGTGAAGCACATGATAAATGCCTGCTTTGTTTATAGAAATCGTGAACTCAGCACCTGAGGTGGGAATTTCACACAGGGGCCCGGGAGGTAGGGACGGAACTGGGAGCTGCTATTATTACTGTAAATGAGGCCATACACAGGTCAAAAGTTACCTGGGAAACCTGATTTCCTCATCTGCCAGGAAATTATATTACTCCTGATCCTTATTTTCATCATCCCTAACACATTCAGGCAATTTTTCCTGAGGACAAAAGAAATTCTAATCTTACAAATTTGTGCGAGGTCTCATGGACCCCAGACGATAGCTCAGAAATAGCCCAAAAGCAACAAAAACTGATAAGGAAGAATTTTGGATAAGATATAAGGCACCTAAGTATAATTCATTTTAAGTCAGGATATTATTTTTAAGGAAATGAAAGCTGTGCTTCTTGGTGGGCAAAACTCACCCAACAAAAACTGTGTTGCTTGTGATTTTAATGCAGCTGATTTCCAACATGGTTCCCTCCAGGGAAGACAAAACAGAAATGGCACCACAAGATGGTCGAAGCTGTCACAGGCCGGGGAGCCTGCGCCCCGGGACAGCCCCGGGAGGAAGACAAAGTCTCAGGCATCTGTGTTCCAGACTCGGCTGGGTCCATATACCTGTAGGAAGGTCATGAAGGGCCAGGGAGTCTTTACAAGACAATGGGAGAAAATGGGTCTGTTCCTACCAAATTGAAAAGAAGAACCAGGGGAAGAAATGTAAAGAATGTGAAAGACTCGCGGGTGCTGAGAAGGTCTGGGCCTGGCTGTGGGCAGTGAGGGGCCTCTGATGTGAAGCCAGAATCCCAGACGGAGAGGAAAGAAGAAATGTCAATCAGGACCCCCGAGGGAGGGCTGAGTAAGACCTGAGCGCAGGGGGGCGCCTAGTTCCGGCTGTAAGGTGGACTTCTCTTCAGAGGGAAGTGAGAAAGGAGAGGTGATGTCAGACGGATCTCAGGGGGTCTTTTCAGTAAAGCAGACAGAACAGAATCATTTACTAAAGGTAGGGTGGGGTGGGGTGGGGTGGGCGACAAGCCTCAAGCTTGAGAAGCTGCCAGAAATAGCTGCTAAGGTACACTCGACAAGGAATTTAAAGTTTTGTTTTGTTTTGTTTGTTTTTAGTAAAATGGTACAGTTGCTATGGAAAAGAGTATAGTAATTCCTCAAAAGATGAAACATAGCATCTGACCCCATGACCTGGTAATGACACTTCTGGTGTACGCCCAAGGGCAGAGAAAGCAGGGCTCGGACAGTTCTTTGCACACGAATGTTCACAGCAGCATTATTACCAAGAGCCGAAAGGTGGGAACACCCCAAGCGCCCGTGCACGCTCCACGCACACGATGGAACGGTGCTCTGTCTTACTGAGGAAGGAAGTCCTGACACAGGCTGCACCATGGGTGAGCCTGGGGGCGTCGTATCACCAGGGAAGTAAGTCAGTCACAAAAGCATAAATGCTGTATGATTCACTGATATGAAGAGCCCAGGAGGGGTGAATTCCGAGAGACAGAGAAGATGGTGGGTGCCAGCGGCTGGGAGGAGGAGTAGGGAGTTAGTGTTTCATGGGCACAGGCTTTCAGCTCGGGAGCTCTGGAGATGGGTGGGGGTGTGGTGGTCGCACATCACTGTGAGCATTATTTAATGCCACTGAGTTGTGCTTAAAGTGGTTTAAACAGTACATTTTCATGTTATTTACCATAATAAAAAAGGCTTTCCTAAGAATTTGGGAGCAGCCCTGAGGCTGGAGAGCATAAAGCGGGGACAGTAAAGCAGAGCCTTGGTGAGTCTGTCTCCAGAGAGGTCCAGAGGCCCAGAGCAGAGGGGAGGCACCGGGCAGTGGAGTGACGGACAGCACTGCCCACACGGGTCCTGCAGTTTCCCCTCCCATCACAAACAAACAAACAAGCAAACAAAACTACCCAAGCAGTCAGCCTCCATTGGTGTGTCTGCTCACTTAAATGAAATGGCTCTGGTAAGAACGTTGTACTAAGTTACATGGAAAACGACAGCACTGAAAACTCGTCTGGCGCCATGTTTAGCCACGTTAGCTTTGATCTGAAACTCCTCGTGCCCTTCCTGAGGCATGAACTGCGGTGGCTGGCTCCACCCTGCAGGGCGGATGTGCATCGTGGCTTCAGTTCTCAGAAGGTGACTGTAGCGGGAGGGCTCTCTGGGGCACAGCAGCCACCTCCACCCCCCACCCCCAAAAACGCCAAGAAGGCACTAGAGCGTCCTGACCTCCTGGTCCTGAACGGGGCATACAGATCATCTCAAAAATCAAAAGAACCAACAAGGGCCACCCTTTGGGAAGCAAAGTTTAAGCCCTAGGAAAACGCTGTCTTTCCATACATTCTCCGTGTATGCTGGTTCACAGTCGTACTTCCATTTCAGCAGAGCACAGCTTAAAGAGTTAAAACAGCACAAAAACCAGGGTCCCATGAGGGGCATCCTTAAAGCTCAGATGCTGAGAGAACACTTACTTACTGTGAAAGAACAAAATACAAAATTAGCAGCGAGGAGGCAACGTTTCAAATAAAACTCAGTCACCTGTCTTGCAGATGGAAGGTTCACACCGAGGCGCGAACGTCACTGAATTCACTCGTGCCTTATAATAAACCACCCAAGTCTCCAGTCCCTAAGGGATGTGACATCAGGGGGAGGAGGCAGACGCAAGCCAGGCCCGATCAAATTTAGTACTGTAAGAATATATTTAGCATCTGAAGTTACTTCTGGGCTCCAAACTTCCTGTAATTTTTATCTATTCTTACACTTCCCACGTCCGTTTCCCTAAAATGTCACAGGATTCAGTAGTAACTGTACCGAGCACGTTGCTAATTTTAACCTTGGAACAACAATAAGGGGGCTTGAGGCAGTGCCGTGTTCCCAAAATAGTTAACCTAAAATGTTAATATGCGCGCCGCATTGCTACTGCCTATAGAGCACCGGGTTTTCACAAAACGTCCCCATGAAGAACGGGAAATTATACTGAAGAATCCAACAGCTCTGCCAGACAACACCTTGGAGAGGAAAGGGACGTGAGGACTTTATTCATATTCAGTTTCGCTTCTTCCTTGGTCACGGCAACCCTGAGATGCATCTGAGCATAAAGGCATCTTCGTTCCAGACCAAATGGCGAGCATTAAGGCTGGGAAAGCACTTCCCCACAACATTTTTAAGACAATAGCCATAAAGATGTTTTCTGAAATTCTCAATTAGAAGGGCATTAAAAGAGGAAGGAAGAACAGAGGCCGCTCCAATGAGCAGCCGGGTGAAAGCTCCAAGCTAATCATGGGGAAGATTCTTCTCCTTGGAAGGAATTAGCACAGGCAGCGAACTGCAAATTGCACAGCTCTTTCTGTGATAAGTCAGCCCCACAGAAATTGCCAGGACAGGGATGCCCGGGCGTGCGGGTCCCAGGGCTGCTCTGTGGGCCTCTGGCACCCCCACACCAGGAAGGTCCTGAAGAACGCTGAGACCCCACTGCAGATGAAGGCATCTTTCTTCCGACGGGCAACAGGGCAAGAACAGGTAATCAAGGTGCTGAGAACGGTAGGAACCTGGACCCCTGGCTCTGCTGGGCAGGCAGAAGACGCACTGAAGGACGACGATGTGGCACCATTTGCTGGGCACAGGTGGACGTCTGGCTGACGCCTGGGGCACCGACAGCCACAGCCGCCCACATCTGCTCAGATACTAAATACCCACAGCATTGTTCTCCTCAGCTGCCCCTTATTTACATAAAGTAAATTCAGAACCTCTCCTCGCGGAGGAGCGAAGACATAGCAATGACAGGATTTCAGAGCACCTACAGAGGAAAGAGAAAGCAACTAACTCCCTTACGCGTGGGGCATAAGCGCGTTCCTGCGTGGGCCTTCCGCTCACGTTCAGGCATCGCGGGCTGGAGGGCCCGCTTCTCTCAGCCCGCACGGCAGCCTCGCGTCTCACTGGCGGCCTTGAGCGTGGCCGGTGCCGGGAAACCAGGGCCTACCTTCACCCGGACCGTCTGGTCCGACACGCTGCTCATCATGTCGCTGACGGACCGGAACAGCTGCAGCAAGGACTCCACGAAGTCAGCCTCTCCCTTGTTTTCGTACAGCCTGCGAAGGGACACACGAAACTGTGGGGCCCGGCACACAGCACCCCGCCACTTTTTGCTACAGCCACTCAAGGTGCTCCTTGGGTGACAAGTTATAATGTAAGCGGACGTTCCCAGCATCTACGAGACATGGGAGGGGTTTGGAAATCAGGTTGCTGGGGACCACTCAGCTCTGGAGACATGCCTTCAAGTGAAAGATGCTGATGTTTAAACATCATGTGTATTCTTTTTTCCACTGTAACATAATACATTCCATACACAGAAATGTTTGGAAAGAGAGGGAAACAAGGAGGCAGGGAAAAAAGAAGGAAGGATGGAGAAATTCAGCTTAAGTTCTACCCCACAGAGATGGCACCATTAATATTTTGGTGTCTTTCCTGCCAGAACAGATAAGGTCACATAATTGACAGAGACACTTAATTGCCTAAATTTAACATAATCTTATAACCATTTGAAAATGACATTATAATAGTAAACTCATAATTAACATTATTTCAGAGGAATGGTAGTAATCAAAGTCATTCATCACAGAATCGGTCGTGACAGGAAAACTTTCAAGAGGGGGAACATGCTAAATAAATGGATAACAAGAAAGGTGTGCATTGGTTACATGGATGCAAATATATGTTGCTAATTGTAAATAAGTTTCATCTATAAATTATTTATTAGCAGTTACCTCGAGTTGCTGTGTTACTAAGAAGCAATGTATTTGCATTTTTAAATGTTGCAACTCAGATGTTTTATTAATACAGACTGGCTTTCTGCCTAATTAAAAGTATACCATACCTGAAAACTTGTGTACAATGGAAAATTTTGTAAACTAAGTGATAATTAATTACCCTAGAGGAGCTCATTTGAGTTCCATTGTAAAGCAGCACATTCTGCCTAAAAAGGGAAATTGTAACATAGTGTATGTGTTTTGTAAAGGGTATTCAAATAGGAGTTTACTTAAATGGCGGACCAAACAATTACAATTATGGAGTCATGAACTTCTGCGTGCGGGTGACCTGGAACAACACTTGGCAGACACTGGCGCAAACACTTCAAAGGCTTCAAGCTTGCAGTCCTTCTCCCTCTCAGGATAACTGCCAATTCCTACAACTAAAGGGTTAGGAGACTAAAAACAGACATGAAAACCTCTATAAAGCAGCCGAATTTTCATCTGTCTCCAAGATAATGAAAAGAGCTTGGAAAATGCCAGGGAGAGGGGCCTCAGCTAGCCCCATAGATTCGAAGTTGAAAACCCCGGAAAACGAAGGGCAAACACATTAGACTGAGGCTTCCCAAGGCTACGAGCAGCCTTCACTCAGCGCACCTCTGCAGAGAAAGGTGCTTACCCCACGATCGCTGCCTAGAAGGGGAAAGAATGGGTCATCTCTGAAAGAAGGTCACATCACCTGGAGGTTCTACACTTTTCACTTATACACAGGCCTGCATTCCAGGGAAAACTACTAAAAACAGCAAAAGTACAGACCCATGGCCGAAGCAAAGAAGACAATAGAAAGGGACTCAAAGGTGATCAAGATATCGCAGTTAGGGAACAAGAATGTCAAAATACATATAATTATCTTTTAAAATAAAGAGACAAAGATGAAGAAATGGATAAAAATATAAAAAAGAGAGATGACAAAAACATTAGATGAAAAATTTTAGTAGAGAAATGAATCTAGAGGAAACAATCAAATGAAAATTCTAAAACTAAATAAAATACTGTATCTGCAATTAAAGATTCATTATATGGATTAAATTTAGATTAGACACAGAAAAAGACAGAATTACTGAAATGGAAGACAATTAACAGGAAAATAAGCAAAGAAATGAAAAATATGGAGTGTTAAAGATACCTAGGGCACAATGATGAGAATTAATATACATGTAATTGAACTGTCAGAAGAAAATGAAAAATACAGTGGAACAAATGCAACATTAGAATGGATAATGCCCATGAATTTTCCAGAATTAATAAAAGACATCAATCCAAAACTTTAAGAAACTCTCAAAATCCAACATAGGATAAATGAAAATCAAAGTATCCCTTTGCAATCCATAGTAAAACTGCTAATAACCACAGGCAGAAAAGCTGTAAAAGCAGCTAAGGAAAAAAGAAAAACAGCACCACCTTCAAAGGTGTAACAGTAAGTCTGAGCACCGATTTCTCACCAGAAATGATGGAAACCAAAAGAAGGCAGAATAACATCTGGAGGAAGAAAATAACTGCCAATCTAGAATTATATATTAAGTGAAAATATCCTTCCAAAACAAAGACGAAATAAGAGATTTGGAGAACTTTTCGATAATGAAAGGGAGGTCTCTAGAGCATCGCCATTCCGTTTTATCAAATAAATCAGGAAGAGCAGCTTGTCTGAGCCACCTTGCAGGGGAACAAGGAATGAGAGGGATATCAGTAAACAGATGACTACAACCTAGTCATCATTCCTTGCTCTACTTAAATGTGATAAATATTCATTAACAAGGAATGACAAGATCTTTGTCTATAACCTACATTCTATGTTCGTTACCCAGGAAATGATAGCAAAATGACAGGTCTGCTACCACTTATTCAGGACCAATAATTATTCACAAAGCTAACACAGATGACAGGCAAAAACCCCACAAAGCACCTGAAAGACAGAAGAGGCACACAGTGATAACTCCCTTAATACTGGGACTCAGAAGGTCTCGTGCAGGATGGATCTGTTTGCTGGCTTCCTAGTCAATGTGCTGCACCCACGCAGAAAACACAGACAAACAAAACCAGCGGAGAAGTGCCCCTGACTATCAGGCCTCTTTCCTTGGGGCTCCCAGGACAGGAATGTCTTTGGGCCAGAGCTGTGAGCCTATAGGTTTCATTTCAAAACAAAATGATCCTTCTAAACAAAACAAAAGGTAGGAATTTGCACAGTGAGAGAAACAGTGAGACAATGATAAGCTTCAACGTCTTCATCTCAAAGGTTTCACCTCTTTGTTCTCCGTGAGAGTAATTACTGTCAATACCCTGGAATTTTACAGAGCTACTACAATATATGGAAATACAGCAGACCATTTTAAAAGAAAAAGGAAAAAAAAAAGAACTCAAAACTTTATTCCAACTGCAAAAAGAAAACCACATACACTGGTCAATTCTAGCTGTGAGCACAGTTTTTCTCCCGAGGTAATAAATGTGTTGCAACTAAGAAGATGAGAACCACAGTGAGTTCTCTCCCTCAACTCTGAAAATACCCAGCGAGACCTGCTAAGGACTTGTTAGGGACCAAACATTCTAGACCTCTGTGTGTAGGACACAGGACTATCCAAACTAGGAATATTATGTCATCTAAAACTAACACCTTTGATATCACAGATGAAGAACCACTGAGATGGTCAGATAGCAGAGAAGGGGGTTGATGGGGAGACTCAGTCCCCACTATGGTCCATGATTTTAAGGTCATGATCTTTTTCTGACCACAGAATCTCTAAGATACTAAAACACCTCGGCAGTTTCAGACTACAGATTTAAATTTAAGAATATTATCATAGCTACATAATGTGGCTACACCTGTGCTCTGGATTGAAAGGAACATATGTCCTTCTCCACACTCAAGAATTGTAGAAGGCAGCCAAGATATACATTTAGGAAACACTCAGATAAAAAAAATAAATGAATAAGGTCAACACATGATCAAAATCTGGGATAGAGTCAGCGCTCCAAAGTTTACAAAGTACTTATGGGAGAAGGAAAGAAGAAAGGAGAGAGGATGGATGAAGGGAGGGAAGAAAGGAGGGAGGAATGGAGGGAGGGATGGAGGGAGGGAATGACTGACCAACCAAATCCTCAGCATCACTGCAGGGCCTGGTCAGGTGAGGCCAGGAAGGCCCAGACACGGGCCCTGGGAGCACGGGGAGGCCGCACAGCCTTTGGACAATTGTTGCTTCTGACTGCTCTGCGCTTGTCCTGGACAGTCTCAGCTCATCTGACAAACAAGTCACCCCAGCCAAGAATCTCAGTTTGGGGTCAGGCCCGGCCCCTGCTCGAGCCACTCCAGGACAAAGGCCAGCCCAGGACAAAGGGTCCGTGCCAACAGCGTGTGCCAAGCAGCGGAATGAAGGCATTCCTAAGCCCGGCAAACACAAAACGCTTCCCAGGCCCCATTCCCGCACAACCTGGTGGGACCGAGTCAGCCTGGGGGTCACTTAGGGCTCCACTGATTTAAAGCCAGAGCCACCTGTGCCAGGCGTCTCTGAGACTGACCCCCGAACTAATGGGGAAGAGCGACTGAGGAGCCTAACGAAGTCGGGTTTAGTAACCCCAAATAGCATAGGGAGGGTCCAAGCTGTCAGGACAGAAACTCTGGGTCCGAGTATGAGCGGGGGAAGCCTGACTGTGTATATTTCTCCCTCACTGCTTTACTAAAAGAGCTCCGATTCTGTTGACAGCAACAGCAAGCCCATCTAAACATCCTTTCCAACTTCCTTCACATCTAAGGGGCTCATGTCACATACTTCTGGCCAGTGAGATTACAGCATGTGTCACTTTGTAGGGACTGGGGATAGGTCTTGGAAAGGACAGTGAGTGGAAGACCCCGCTATCCTTCCCCCTTCCGCCCCTGCTGCCTGGAAGGCCGCTGTTGTGATGCCAGGAGGGGCAGGGCCCCACCACCGCTGCTGTCTATCGCCGCTGTCATGCTAGACAACCAGGAACGGAAAGAGAAAGGGAGGAAGAGAAAGCAAAAGGGGGACGAGGGGGAGAGGCGGGAAGGAAGGAAGGACAGGGTTTCCTCACAGCCCCTGGAGAGCCAGCCCGGGCGACCTGACACCTACTGATTGAACAAGATTCGGGAGCGCACGATGAACTTGAAGATGTACTCCAAGGCCTTCATGGCTTTGTACAGCTGCTCGCTGACGGCCGGCTTCTCAGCACTGTCCACGTAGTTCCGCAGAACTTTCGTCAGCTTCCTATTCGTCACGGAAACACAAATCAACAAGGTCAGAAAACCACAACATCTCAGCCCTCAACTGGGACAGGAACACACAAGCGGGTCGTCTTTCGGTTCACACTTATCCATGTATCCCCATTTGCAAAACGCATCCTGAACAGACTACAAGTGACCCACAAAATAACTCTCAGAGGAGCAAGGTCTGAGCGTTTAACAAGCGCTTCCTAAGCGTTTGATGCTTTTCGAAGCATTTCAATGTGTTATGTATTTAACCCTCACAGTAAGACTGTAAAGCAAGCAGTGGGTCTTCTCCCTAATTGCAGAGGAAGCAGCCGGGGCTGAGGTAGGTAAGCGAGCTTCCCCGACCTCAAATAAGAAGATCAAAGGGACTTTCTTCACAGGCCAAGAGAAGCACAAAAAATCTTTGCAAAAGGCATAATACTGAATACAGTGTGGACCTAGGTGATGGCTGCACAACAATGTGAATCTACTAAGAGCATATGCTGAACTGTACACCTGAAAATGGTTCAAATGTTCAATTTTATGTTACGTATGTATTTTACCAAAATAAAAAAGGCATTATATACATGAAAGAGTATTTGCTATTGAAAACCATCTCACCCACCTCTGTTCATTTTAGCTCATTCTCTAAAACTAGAGCTCTTACACTCAAAAAAAAAAAAATTTAGAACCAATTTTTCAAATTTTCAGGAAACATTCTTAGTTTTTAATGAGTTTTCTAAGGACCTTTATATAAAAGATGATGAACAATAGATGAGAATAACATGGGTGAATACATGAAAAGACCTGTATTTTTTTTTTGCATTTTCTAATAAGGTTGCACAAAAACACTTAGTGGTAAAAGCATAATGACTGTACTTCTCTTGGCGTCTATTTCTTTATAAATTGTGATCTAAAAACAATTAACTCCCTAACAAGAAAACATAATAGAAATTTACATAGTTTATAATATACCAAAATTGGTCAGAATTATTTTTAAATTTTCCACACCATTACATAAGTAATTATAGACAGTTGGTACAAATTAAGTATATATATTGGAAGTTTGATTTTAATTCATAGCTTCATAAATTATATTAAGTGCTTAATTCATAGGTAGTTAAAAGAAAATACTTGTTAAAATAAAAGAAAAAGCATTAACGTTTTTCTATTTTTCTGTAATCCAAATAACCAGAAAGTGCAAGTGGCAATAAATCTGCTCAAAGCTTCAGAGTATGTGAGAAGGTTAATTAAAAAAAAAAAAAAAGACTCCAAGAGGCCATATCCAGGTATATCGCAGAAAAAGTCTAGAATCATATTTTAAAAAATCAGCTTCATTCATAAATATATACAAAGTAAAATAACATGAAGTAAACTGTTTGCCCAATACATTCTCAAAGAAGTAGAAAAGACTGAAAATTAAGGTGGTCCGACGAGATGTGGGGAATTGGGTCCCCGCTAGTGGGGTAACTGACACAGCAGGTTTTGGGCAACACACCGGTCGTATCTATTACAATTACAAACCTTGAAATCCTTACACACCAGCAATTCCACTTGCAATTTATTCTACAGAAACAAGTATAAATATTAAAGGATGTTTACTGCAACAACGTCTACAATTGTAAAACTATGCACATGTCCATCACTGGAGGGCTGGTTACAGAAATTACGAGACGTCCTTACGATGGCGCACTGTGAGCCTTTTCAATACGAAGCGTGGTGGCCAGAGGGAGAGACGGTGCATCATGACCAACACAGGAAAATGGCCAGCTAGGGGGTTTCTTCGTTTGCAAAGAACGGCAGTTTCAGAGCAGCAGACGTGTGGGGACCACTCTGTAGCCTACGTTCTTATCATTCACCTTTTTGTCCATCTTTGTGACACTGTCTTGGCTTCTGCAGCTTTGCACGAAGTCTTGAAATCAGGTTTTTCTTCTGAAAAATGAGTCGGCCTCTCTGGACATGTTGCATTTCTTCTATTTAATTTTTCAAATAGGCCATTCCATTTTTTTTTTCACAAAAGCATGCTAGGTTCTTGAATGCAATCATGTTGAACTACAGATTAATTTGGGGAGAACGGACATTTGGGCAAGATTTTATCTTTTGATCCATGGGCACAGTATGTATCTCTTGATTTTTCTATATTAGCTTTGGATCCAAACTTTCCTACATTTGCCTACTAGTTCTAGTAGTTTTTTTTTTGAGAGGGAGGCTTTTCAAAAATTGATTCCTTAGGGTTTTGCAAGTACATAATCACATTATGTAAAAGTAAAGACCGCTTTACTTCTTTCTATCCAATTATTATACTGTTTATTTTTTTTTTCCTGCTTTACTGCACTACTTCCAGTAATAAACACACGTGATGAGAACAGAGATCCTCTCCTTGATCCCAGACTTAGAGGAAAGGCTCTCGATGTTCTAGCCTGAAGTCTTAGGTTAGCTGTACATTTTCTGACACGTCCTTTGTCAGATGAAGACGTTGCTCTATTTCTAGTTCACTAAGAAGTTTTATCACAAATGGATGTTCAATTTTGTCAAATGCATTTTCTGCATTACTGAGATTTAACAATAAAAGCAGAAAGCTACTAAAACCGTGGAGGCCCAGTGGACCATTCTGCAGCGATGAAAAACTTCTGCAGCTAGTCATCCAGGACAATTGGAACATCATTTAAGGGGAGGGAACCTAGAACCAGCTCTGGGAAAGACAGCTCAACGGACAGAAAGGCTGCTGGTTTCCTGGGAGAATGGTCCCCAGGGGCGATGCCTCTCTCCCTTGTCACCCGGACAGCTGTGGTCACCCTGACGGGGCTCCAGTTCCCATGGATTCCGTCTGCAGGGGAGCTATCAGGGAGCGCTGGGGCGCTAAGAAGTGGTGCCCATTGCCTGTAGTCACCTTTAATGTCTTCTCTTGGAGTTCTTTATGAAGAAAGGCTAAAGATCTCAGCATTTATCAAAGGAAAGAGATAAAAAAGCAACAGAACAAGGGTCTAATCCAAGCCCATATGCCTGCCAAAGCTTTGGGGGTGGGGGGTAAGGAGGGGCTCTCTGCGATAATACCATATTTCCCCATGTATAAGATGCACCCTTTTTAGAAAAATTCGGGGTCGAAAAACTGGGTGCATCTTATACAGTGATTATAGATCGTTGTCAAGTCATTTAAGAAGTGTGGCATTTCAGATGCCATAGATGGAACTGAGGACGAGGCAATATACGAAGACAGTGATTCGTCATCAGACACAGATGAGGACAAGCTCATGGCTGGGAGTTTTGACAGTGATGAGGAGGTGTATGAATTTTATGATGAATAAAACCTGAGTTCAATAACTTTATGTAGTATTTTTTTTTTTCAAATTTTGGGCCTGAAAATTAAGGTGCGTCTTAGACACGGGAGCGTCTTCTACCTGGGGAAATACGGTACTTAGCACCAGGCCCCTCCCAGGCTCAGGGAACAAATGCTATGGTGCTTCATCAGTGTGCACAACCCCCCATGTTTGGTTAAAACTGTGTGGATCAGTTCTCTCCTTTGGTTTTTCCAGATGTCAATACTCAGATGCAACTTGGCAGTGTTAGTTTATCAAAACATGGTAAGAATACGTCTTTTTCCAGAATGACAATTTCCTTTTCAGCAGATTACAGAGCCTGACTGAGAGGACACTGATTCTCAGCTCAATCCCGTCACAGCTGAAAGGTAAAATGAGACTTTCTATCTCTCCGATTGAGTAACTAGCCAAAAGCGCTCCGATTTTCATTCTGCCACCTCTGAGAATAAGTACATCACTCTTTCCCCAAAGGCCTGTGAGGGGCGATGCCAACAGAAGGATCTGGAATGCAGTGTAGGAAGCTGATTCATTGTTCTGATTTTCTGAAATTAAAGTACAAAATCTAATCTGAGGAGAGTTGTTGGGCCCCCTGTCAATAAAGAAGCAGAACCGGGAAAGTGACACACACTGAGATCCTGCCGCATTGCAAGCCGTCCAGAGGCCACTCCCATCAGCCGGCGTGGGTCGTGTTCTGGTTGCCATGGCGAGAAGGTGCCACTTGATCCGCCCTCCCCACAGCCTGTGAGGAACTGTCCAAAGTGCGGACAAACCGGGCATCTCCAATGAGACAACAAACCGCTTTAAACAAACATTTGTTCACAAGAAAGCACAGGACTCGTCAGAGCTCGCTCTGTGTGCTTGAGAACATGGCAGCTCCCTGCCCCCTCGGGGCTCCACTGCCCCACATGGAGCAGGCACTCAGGGCACACGTGAAAACATCCAGGAGCAGCTGCCAGTGCCAGGCCTCTGACCTGGAGCCTGTGCCGCACACGGGCAGAGACGCAGGCTTTGGCCTATACGTATGGCCAAGGCGCAGACGGGAGCTGAGATCCAATTTAATGGCCCCGAAGAGAATCAGTTCCAATGATTCCAAGTGCACGTCCTCTGAGAAATTATATCAGATCGTTATGTTGTACACCTGAAACTAATGTAATATTGTTTGTCAACTATACTTTTTTAAAAACACATTTTTAAAAAAGAAATTATTTAAATCTTTTGAATGCGACTTGCACCATTAAAAGTGTGTATAAACGTCAATGAACCCCATGTGTGGGACAGAGAGTAACCCACTACAATGATTCTAATAACAATGAGCCCCAACAATTGCCTTGGGCTTTCCAAGTGCCAGGAATTATTCTGCGCAGTCGACATGTAACTTAGTAAAATTCTCGGCAAACCTACAGTCGTACCCAATTTACAGATGAGAAGACTGAAATCCAGAGAGGCTAAGCAACTTAAAGGTGGAAGTGACAGAGCTGCCATGTAACTCAGCTGGGCCCCAGGACTGTACCCTCAACACCAGGCGAGCAGCCTCTGTGGCCCAGGCGTCACACACACTCTGGTGGGACACAGAGGGACACGTGGAGACATGGAAAGGGCTGGGAGCAGCCGGGTGGGCACTAAGAACCCACATTATTTACCAGGGAGGCTTCTGGAGCAAAAGGAAAATCTTTCTTCAAAGAGCAAAAAGGTATACCGAAAGATACCAGACTGAATTTTATTCCCACTAAACAGCTAATAACCTCAAAACGAGAACACATCCATTTGTCCATTCCTCAAAGGCTCGTTGGGAAGCTACAGGGTGGCAGCCTCCCTGCACCCATCTATCCGTTTCATTGAACATAAAGTAACAATTTCAAAGACCAATGGAAGGGGTGGAGAAGAGCAAGGATCTATTCCAGAATGTTATGATCATTTATCACATGTCTCTTTCAATAAGATTTTGAGGGCTGTTAAGAAGGAAACAAAAATAAAAATTATCCCAGGAAACTCACAGATTTGAGAGGGAGAAAGGATAATCATAGGCAAAAGTCTATGAAAAAAGATTCTCGGTAACAAACACAAGACAAAAGCAAGTATTGGCTGTAGAACAACCAGAGAACTTACGTGTAGGCTAGTGTTGCACTGAAGTGTTTCTTAATGTAGGTTTCCAAAACGGGATTAAAATGCTGAAATTTTCGGTCAGCAATGAGTCCAATGATAAACACCTGTTAAATTAATATTTTCATTAGCAAAATAATGCGAACCCTTCTGGAATCTTCACCTGAGTCACGTGCACCGCACCGCGTGAGTCAGTGAACTGTGACAGCGGGTCAGCCAGCTTGCCTCTCCTTGCCCTACACGCTACACTTGCCCAACTACAGTGCTACTGGAAGAACTTTCTAGCTCTCAGTTTGTCTGCTCTGACTGGATGTACACCTGGCAATGCTTTCCAGGCTGCCGGGCCGGATCCCACCCTCAGCTTCAAAGGCTGCAGCATGAAAGTACGGATGGAAAGTGGAGACCTCTCACCAGGGCATCGAACACCAGGGTGTCAAAGGTCTCGCTCTCGGAGTTCTCCATCATGATGTTGAACAGGGCATCCAAGGTGTCCTGGAGGAACTGCGGAGACACAAGGGCCAGCGGACGGGTGAGCGCCCACCCAGCTTCCACACCTGGACGAGCCGGTACCGCTGCCATGGCTCCAAACACCCACATTTCTCAAATGGCACCTACGCAGCTCTTAACGTTAGGGATTTTTCTCCCAGTCATTAGAAGCACAAGACAAAAATGTGAGCTACATGAACTCGGAACAGAGACATGGGCAGCCTGAGTCAAGCAGAGGAGGCCCTACTGTCCCCTCCTACGGACTCTCCAGCCGTCTTCCTGGGTTCCATCAGCCCAGTGACAGCTCCACAGCAAGTACTTTTATATCATTTCCCACCATTTTCAGACTGCAAAATCTTTGCAAAGGTCCAAACTTTATGCCAACTGCCAACAGCCCAACGTCACTATCAATAGGCTCTCCGGGTGTCAGACCCTGGCTGGTCACAGTTCACCCAGAGTCCCTACAGCAGGTCTACCTGTCCCACCCAGACAGGTGACACGAGTGATAGCACAGGACATGACAGCAGAGCTGCGGCCTGGGACATCTAGTTTCAGAGCCGCAGAGGTGCAAGGACCTGAGTATCCTAAAGGAGGTGCTCATATGGGGGAGGAAAAGCCTTGTGTGACACCCACCCTCTCTCTAAGGACATGCACTGGGGGACCAAAGTCATCACGGTCATTTCCACCGAAATGGGAGACCGTATCTCTTACCAGATGAGCAAGTGCTTTTTTCAACCCATCTAGCAATGCCCTCTCTCTACTAGTTATAAAAACAGAGGGAAACCTTGGACAAATGGGAAACACCCAGTCTCTGAGGCCCTTAAATGGAGTAAAAGGAGCCCCCCGGCCAGCCTTCCATTGGCTGGAATGGCCTTCCATTCCTGGCTCCTACGAGTGACTGTGTGGCCTTGGACAAGTCCATTCACCGCTCCAGACCTACAGTGCACACTGGCCAAGCAGAGGTCAGACACACAGGTCATCCTGCCCCGAGTGGTCCCCGTGTGCAGAGGGAGCAATGTGACCACGTCCAGGGGTGAGCAATGGGGATTTGATAATAGATTAGATAAGGAGAATGAAGAACATGATACGATGGTCTTTGATATCTCCTGGTAAGCGTGACAACAGGTCAACAGAAATACAGTGAATTCCTGGTGTGCTACGGGGACTTAAAAATGACAAGGGACAAAACCGCATGAACTGTGTGTGTCTTCTAAAGGTACTTTAACTTGTTTCCCCAGCTTCCATCGGAATCGGGGACTTTACAGAACCCTGGGAAGTTTCAAATGCAATTAACATTGTCTAGCCAGGGGTAGCTGACGAGGACCTGAAAAGATAATGAAAACTGGAAGATGAGCAAGGAAATGTTTGAATGGCTGTACAATGAAGTTAGGAAAGTGTTGCGACCAAATTAATTCACACTGACGTTAACCATATTGCTGTTTAATGAAGGCCACTTTATGTAATTAATTTTTACAGAGATAAGATACTCTCCCTCTGCGAGCACCTCTCATGGAGGGTGAAGAGCTGGGACGGTGACGGACCTGGCTGTAGAGACCTCACTCACGAACCACTGCAAGTAGGGGACCGGCTTATCGTCCCCCGGCCAAAATGGGACATACGGAAAACGAAAACGCATTTCCTTACGCACAAGGAAAAGTCCTTTGAGCAGATGCGAGGCGAGAAGCGGCTAATACTGAAGAAAATATCAGAACCGCCAACAAGGACCAAATAAACAATTACAGAGTGTGAGCGCTCCGAGGGCTCCCAGTCTGACTGTCCTCTTTTAAAGATTTGACCGGGCACCCAGCATTTCTCCAGAGCCCGGTATGTGTGAGGCTGAGACATGAGGCCAGATCCTGGGAGAAAGGAAGTGGCCAAGGCCAGATGAGTGCGCGGCCCCGTCCAGCACACCACACATCTGCAGGTCAAGTACAGAGCTCTAGGAGAGCGGTGAGCCAGCGGCGAGGGAATGATCATGGGCACCTCCTAGGTGCCAGACACGGCTGCCGCGTGTCATCTAACCCCCACCACGACCGTCTGAAGAAGGCACTCGTGTTATCTCCAACCTACAGCAGGGAAAGCGAGGCTGAAAGAGGGGAGTTCACCTCTGTCCATCCCGCAGCGAGGACCCAGGGGAGGAGGAACCAGCAGCCAAGGCTGGCTGGACTCCAGGTCCTGTCACCTTCACCGTGATACCAGACCAGCATCCCAGGGGATTCTGTCCACGCAGAGGTGCACGGCAGGCCCTAGGGCACTGCTGTTACAGGATTCTAAGGAGAAACCCCCACCACCTCGGGCAGCAGCATCTGACCAACGCCCCGGGCCCCGGGTCGCCTTACCTTCACCACTTCGCCGCCATCCACCTTCATCAGCTGCCTCAGGTTCTGCTGCAGCAGGTTGGTGTTGGAACGCCACTTGAGGAGCCCCAGGAGGTCCACTGAAAACAAACGAAAGACAGTTCCTCCAGCGGGAATTGCGGCCTCCCTTAACACATGCACCATGCGGGGCTCTGGGTACAGTATGTTTGGAACAGAAAAACCAACCCTATTTGGAAAACGTCACCAGCTCCATTTTCACTGCTTTCTAGCAAACACGCCTGACACCCAGTGTGGCTGATCAGTCTTTCCAACTCCATTTACCATGAAATGCTTTCCACGTGGGAGCGGTAAAAATGCATCCTGGAGCCTAAGAAAGAAGGGCCGGCCTTTCCAATGAGCAGGCAGGCGGGGCCGAGCAGCAGACGGCCTGGAGGGGCTGCTCCCCCACCAAGTGCTGTCCTGGCATCTCGTCCCAAGCATGAGAATGAGGCTCAGGATTTTTTTTTCATATTTTAGATAAAATAATATAAAACAATAAGCACAAATCCAGGTCCTGAAACCACAAAAGGTGATGGTCATGAAAGGGGCCCAGAGTCAGCCCGGCCCATGGAGCCCCTGCTGCACTAAGCCTGCTGACCTCACCCAGACCAGCCGGCAGTGGCTGCTGCGTACAGCTGAGTTTTTGTTTATTGGTTTCCTAATACAAGAATCACAAGCTGGATGCACGGGGGTTTTCACAGACTAAATGGAAGACCATGTCCAGAAATGATTTTTAGGTAGCAAGATGGCTTTGGAGGCTTGAAGACAGAACCCAGACATCTCTGGGAAACAGTGCCTACAGTTTTCACTGGGAGTTATTTTCATACCCCATCACGTGAAAAAAGACCATTAGCAAAGGGCATCTAATTTACCGTGTATGTTCACTAGAAACAAACGTCAGCTACAGAAGTTATCTCCCTAAGAAAAACCCCAGTAAATACTGAAAAGGCAGGTATCAGTTGAGCAATACACAGAATTTCAGGGAACACAGGACACCAACTGAAATTTAAGGATAAAACCACACAAAAGGCATTCGCGTGAAAAGCACTGAAACATACATCTTTATACGTGTGACTTTACCCCCAAGTAAAGCTGCCAAAGGGAAGAGTTGAACATGGGAAACTGAGAAAGGAACAGCAGCTTAAAATACTGTGAAAGGTGCAGAGCATTGGCTGAAGGACCAGCAGGGCCACAGCACCACTATATGACCTTGGGCAAGGTCATATAGTGGTTTTGCCATCTGAACAATGGGTACAGCATTGCCTGACTCACAGTGTTGGTGCAAGAATTAAATGGCATGACCTAAAGAAACCATTTAGCATGATGCCCCGGGTGGAGACCCATGGCAGCATCCACCAAAGAGACGATCAGGAATTGAAAACTGTAGCCATTCAACATGAAAGTTAACGTGTTTTCATTTCTAATCGAAACTGCAGCAAGGATTAAGGCTGCATCCTGCCCAGACATGCTCTTGGTCCCAGGGTTCAGGGCGATGTCCATTCCACAAGAGTCACCAGTGTTTTCTTCATGGAGATAGTTAGTAACCTGGGTCCCGTCCATGCAATGTTAGTGGGACTTGGGACAGGAGGGAGGCTGAGGTATCCTCTGTCCTGAACAGCTGAGAAAAGGGACAACCAGGCAAATTAGTAGTGAGCCAACACCTTGGAGGGGAGGCAGCGAGATTTCAGAAAACGGGGCTTGCCCCACCCCCAGCTGCCCAGGTGCTCTCTGCTCCCGGGAAGCCAGTGCCATCGGACCCCAAATAATTTTTTGTTTCTCCCTCTCTAATTATATAGTAAGATAATCAAGGACATGAATCCGTCTTATATGTCTTCCTACATCCCCGACAGCATCCAGCATAATTCTGAGAACAGAGCTGTGTAACACAAACCTCGATGAATAATTCAGCCACTGCTTTTCCTAACTAACGGGACTTCACAGGAACAAATCACGGTGTCAGAAACGTGACTCTCCAATGAGACTCTGGGCGTCCATCTCAGGGCCAGCTGGGGGAGCTCCACCTTTCCCACACCTGACACACCACCATCCCCAAAAGAGGGATCGTTGGCTGGGGTGAAATGAAAGCCAAAAGATGACCCGCGTTCCTCCTAGCGAGCAGCAGCACGTTGGACTTTACCTGTTGCCCAGCAACGGCTGCTGCGCGCCCAGGGTGCTGGCTCCCTCAGTTCCAGGGAGGGAATTACCCTGGGGCCAGTGAGATTCAAGGAGCTCAGAGGAGAAAGGAAGGGTGGACAGCATCCCTGAGAGATTTCTGTGACTTAATATCTTGGGGGATTCCTAGTTTGCTGTCTTCTTCTCCGGGGATATGTGGGTTAAGGAGGAAGGATTCTGTGCGCGGGTCTCATAACCTAACTGCTATTCAGAACACTGCTTTGACGGGGGAAATACGTTCAAGTTCAAAATAACAACTTGCAAACGTGCTTCTGGAATATGACCCACGTATAATAACACGGTGGTTCCCTACACAGTGAAAACGGCAACACGCAGCAGCTCTCGACTGTCTAGCACCTACTAAAAAGCTATAGCGCCGGCCACACATACCCAAATGAGGAGGCGATTCAACGGACAGGCTGCCTTTGCCCTGAGTTAATGAGGCCCTGGGTGCAGTCATCAGGCTAGCGGAGAGCGTAACATATATGTAACATATAGAGGACAACGGTATCCAGAGAATAACGTTTAACCTGTAAGGCACCAGCCCCAGCCTTGCTGGCCGCGTGCTCCCAGGGCGCTCTCTACCCCGCCCCGTGCTTGCACAGAACCCAATGCCCCCGCTAAGTGTTTTCATTTGCTTATGGAGGTTACTGCGTGACCACAAGCTAGGATAATTCATCATGCTTAGGGTGAACTAATGTTCTTAAAGTAACACTTAGGAACATTTGTATCCTTAGAGATATGTATCCAAAATGCAAATGGCTTCCACGTGTTTGAGTGACATATCCCCAGTGCTTGCCCTGCACTGTTTACTCAGGAGACAAGCGGTGAGTGAGAAAGCACAGCTCCTGTCGCCCAGCACAGCTTGTATCACTCAGGACAGCAGCGCAGAGACAGGGGCCTGGAAAGTTTGAAAGGACCCGCACACCCCAACAGCCAGCACACTTTCCATTACAACACAGTAGCTTGCAGGTGATGGGGTTCCTTTTGTCCTGTGTTTATCCCGTTAAAGTCCAAACAACGACTGTCCCTCGGGCAAATCCGAGATGACTGCCAAGATTTATGGACAGCCCCCAGGGACACAATTCATGATAGCAACAGACAGTAATCATCAAAACCCATATCAGGTGGTGAAGAGGAAAAAATTGGATCTTCGAGCTGCGTTTCAAGAGAGCATCGAGTTTCTCTGCACAGCTGTGACACTGTCACTTTGGGGGATGCGATTTTTAAATGGAGGGTTTGTGCACAGGAGCCTCTGCCTGGCCCAGGCAGTGTGCTCTGAATAAGAAGTGCCCCTGGCCAGACAGCCATCACCCGAGAGGCCGGAAGCAGCGGTGACAGCATGTGGCAGACAGGCCGGGCCAGCACTAAGCTACGTCAGGCTGTGCTTCCGCGGGCGTCAGTTAGCACGGGGCACCTTATCCAGAGAGCAGACTAGAAATGTCCTCAAAACCAACTTTTAAAAATGAAGACCACTAGTGATTATCTCAATGAGTAGCCGGGAGGGTGGGTGCCTCGCATCCGACACGTAGTCCTCGCAGAGCCCTTTGAGGCGGGCACTATAACCAAGTGTACAGACGAGGACAACGGGGTTCAGAGGACCTAGTTCAAGGTCATTCCCAGGGTTGCCCCAGGGCCAGGGCTCAAGACCAGGTCTCTGGTGTAACTTTAAATCCTGTGGATGGGTTTTCCCTTATGACACCTGCCTTTGGCGAAAATGCTTTTCCAAAAGTAAACCCATTGCTTTCTCTCTCTTTAAGGTTAATCTCTGGGTCAAAGTCAGAGCATGAATTTTAAAGTCCGATGGAGGTCACCCCCTTTCCTGAGCCGTAGACATCCACACGGGCCGTTACCAAGGACAGCCCTGAACGGCTTTGTTCACCCACCTACAGAGGCCTCCTCCCCTCAGCCAGAGCATGGAATGGACGCAGCTGTGGGCGGGATACTCCAGGGGGGCGTGTGTCTGCCCCACACTCACCGTTCTGGGTCAGTTTCGTGGAGCACACGAGCGTTGACACCTGGAACGAATCTTTGCTGATGGTGCAGCTCCCGAGGCTTTGCATGCTCTTGCCCGTGGCTGAGTGGCCCTTCTCCTCCAGCTCTGCTTTCGTGGACGGCAGGCTCAAGTATGTGGCCGCATCTTCCAGCTTCTTTGCTTCGGCCTGTGGGTTTAACGACGCAACACGTGGACCCCAATGCACCGTCAGCGGCCCCCACGCTATCCTTCGTCCTTTCAACCATCGTGATATTTGCTCTGTCTCATCGGCTAAACAGTGCATTCGAGGGATTTCTCTAGTTCCTGTCCATGAATTCAAGTGACCAGAGCCTTTCTTCCTAGAGCACCTGATGGTATTGTATATACACATTGTCGCCTCTCATGAGGAGCAGCAGAAAGGCTGGTCATCGGAAATGGGCATTTGCATAATTACACGGTGCTGGACAGCAGCTGTCTCACCAAGGGGAGAAGCGCCAGCTCCGGCCAGGAAGCCCAGACAGGCAGGAAGCAGTCAGCGTCAGTACCACTGCGCCCACGAAACGGCCGGCCTACCTTATACACGATCAGATCGTGCTCTCCGTCTCTCAGAGTGGTCCCGTCGTATCTCATCAGCTTCACAAAGGCTAGGGCAAATATTTTCTCCGATTTGTCTTTAGCTGCAACAGAAATCAATAACCGTCTTCAATTGCTGTCGTGACGAAATAACGCCATACGGTGGTACAGGAGCTGCCTTAATGAAACAATTCTAACACTGTGCTGACAGATGTTAAAGCAAACACAGATAAGTGGGGAAACAGACAAACTTCAGCAGCAGGAAGACTTGCCATAAAGGGACGGTTGCGGACAAACCAATCTGCAAATTCAAAGCAATTCCACTCGAAGTCTCATGGACGTGCTCACTCACGAGCTTGAACACTGATTCGAGAGTCAACACCAGGCACCAGGATGAGTCTGCGGGGCCGCCCGCAGCACTAGAAACCAAGAGTAACCGCACAGTGATGCCGAGGAACACAGTATGTTTCACATGAGGATGCACAGACCCGTGGGAACGAACAGCCTCTGGAAACAAGGTCGTCACAGGTGACAGCAGAGGGGCAGCAGGTAAGAGAGAAAACCGGTATTCGACAGGGAAAGCAAAGAAGACGGAGGCCAACCTCGCCCCGTCGCTACTGTAAATCACAGTGGACCGAAAGACCACCATGTGAAATTCTGTTCTCTCTCTGGCAGCAAAGCTCCCCACCAGGTGTCTGCATGTCAGCCTCCTTCCCTCATTTCATTCAAGTTTCGGCGGAGGTGTCACCCACTCCGAAGTGACCAGCCGACTAAAACAGTAAGTTAGTAGCTTGGTCAACTCCTCCTCACCTGACTTATTTTTCTTCATACTTACTATGGGCTGAATTGTGTCCCCCCAAATTCTTATGTTGAAGTCCTAGCCCCCCAGGTGACTCTGCTGGAGATAACCCTGTAAGGAGGTGCTTAAGGTTTAAACAAGGTCATAGGGTGCAGCTCTGACCCTATAACATTGGGGCCCTTGTAAGGAGAGGGAGAGACAGCGGGGTGCTCCTCTACATGGGTTCACAGCAAGATGACAGCTGTTTGCAACCTGGAAGAGGGCTCTCACCCAAACATGCCCGTGCTGGTGCCCTGAATCAGGCTTCCAGCCTCCAGAACTGTAAGATAATAAATTCCTGTTGTTTAAGCTCCCTAGTCAATGGTATTTTGTTACGGCTGCCAGAGAGGACTAAGACAGTCCTCCCACCAGCAGATTACCAGGTGAGTGTGAGTGTGTGAGTGTGTGAGTGTGAGAGTGTGAGAGTGTGTGAGTGTGTGTGTGCACGCACGCGCGTGTGTATTCGTTGTTTATGGTTAATTTCATCCACTGGACTTAGGAATTCCGGAGACAGTGTGTATTTTTTCACCGCTACTTTCCCAGTGCACAATACAGTGCCCACCATATATTAGGCACTTGGTAAATATTTGTTCTTGTTGGGGAGACACCAGAAGCATGTTCTTCCAGATAACAAAGGAAACAAAACCTGGCGATTTGTTAAAGGGCGATGGTGGGAATATGACAATCGGGCTGGGGGGCTGGAAAAGGTCTGAGAAGATGAACGACGTACGAACCAAGGTGTCAACCTTCCAGGAAAAGAGACGGCACAGGCAAGAGGCCTAAAGTGGGACCTGACTGGCTTGTGGGGGGACAGAAAGCCAGTGTGACCAGAGAGTCATGGGCAGTGCGGGCTCCCAGGCAGGCAGGGGCCACATCAGGCAGGGATGCATAAGGAGTCTGGACTGAAGAGATGGACTCTCCGTGAATTCCTCAAGATGCAATCGGAGTATAGCATGGAAACCCTGAGTTTCAGAGCAGGAGCTATATAATAGCTTTAGAATTATGTATCCTATATTGTCTTTTTAGAAACGACAGAACACAGGTACAAGCGGGGAGGAGCACATGCCTACCCACGCTGAGTCAGGGGCCCAAAATATTTACCGGAAGATGCCACTGAGTGAGATAACACAGCTCATTAATCTCTGCATCCTGGTGCCCATCCGTTTCTGGCACATAGTAGGTGCTCAATAAATGCTAGCTAATTAGATAAATGAATACATAATCGACCAACCAAAAATGAAAGGGAGATTAAAAGTAAAAAAAATACGTACCTCAGGAATCAAAGAGAAACCTGTGTAAACAGGCACTAGAAAATGTAAAATATCTTAATATTCAGGTGAGAAAGAACAGATCCTTCTAAGTTTGGGCTGACACACAAAACATCAAGAATGCTTCTGTTGAAAGCAGCCGCAAGTCAGGAGGACACGTGCCCATACCTGCCAGCCGAGGGCTTCTCCAATCCCACCATCAAGTAGCACAGAATAAAAATGTTTCCCTTTAATTAATTTCATACATCTTCACACCAAGGAGATGGACTGCACTTGTTAAATGCTTATTAGCAGCCATCATGGGATAGACAGATTTGCAAAACGTCAGGGGCCACGGGAGGAGGCCATGTGCTCCGGGAGCCGGCAGGGATGCCCCACCCAGCCTGGCCCCCTACAAACAAGGGAACCCAGCCCCTGGCAGGCTGGGCCCAGAAGCCACACATCTGCTCTCACTCATGTAAAACATGATCTGATGCATCTGGAATTGCTAACGCGTAGCCGGAGAGTGTTACACAGTTACACCGGGCCAAACTCCCCAGCCCCGAGGGCAGACCCCAGCCTGAGGAACCCCAGCACCTGCTCCCTTGGGGGGAAAGCAGCTCGTAGGGTGCTTTCCATTTCCATTTCTGACCCAGAGGGTCTGCAGACGGGGCCGCAGGAGAGGCCCTGGTGGCCACCATCATCCCAGCCGCTGACAGCTTGGGATTTCGTCAGCATCACACTTTCCATGCTCAACACGGCTCCAAACCCCTACAAGCTGTGGCCGCGGAGACTTCATTAATTATGCAAATGTGTCATGGTATGTCGGGTGATAGCATCTTGTCTATAATGAGTACTTAAAACTGACAAGAAAAACAAGGATTTTGAAAATTAAAATGCAACAGAAGACACCCTCTGCCCTAGCGTGATTTATTAATTAGAGAGGGTGAGCTTGTTATAAGGGGGAGCGTGCTCAAATTTTGAGACCAAGGCCTCTGTGGATTCTAGAACTTAGAACTTTGTCCCTGCCCTCCAGGGCCACCCGCCTCCGGCTCCCCTGCAGCCCGCCCAGCTGTGGTCTGACCAGCTGCCATCCCCCGCTATCCCACCCTTGCGGGGCGCGGAGCCCACTACTCCCCCTGGGCCTCGGCTGCAGACATACTCGCCCCTACATGTCCCCCATGCACACACTCACCCTGCTCCCCCCACGCCTCTGCGCTGCACACGATACCCCAGGCTGCCCCCCTCTGCTTGGTTCCCACAAGGTGGCCACAATCCTGGACTCAAACCTCAGTTCTGCAAGAGGAGAACCTTGTGTATACAGCAGGTGCTAAACAAAGACCAGGTGACGACAGCAGCCTCGCCACTCCCTGAAGGCATGGGAGTGACACTCAGGCACAGATTGGGGTTTCAATCAGAGCTCCTCCACTGATTCATCAGGTGACTAGGGCTCTGGGGGGGGGGGTGTCTCTGAGCCCAGGTTTACTCATCTATAATGTCGGGGGGATAACCCTATCGATACCAGTTGGGGGTGCTGTGAGGACTAGTTCACACCACATAATCAAATACGTGTGCCAGAGCACAGTAAGAGCACAGTGAACGTCAGTGAGCACTTAACAGGCGTTTTATCCAACAGCTCTAGCCATCAGGAGGGCCCTGAACAATTAGTAGGGTCCGGCCTCCCGTCTGGCAGCCTGGGTTTGGCCCGAAGGCACATAGACGAAGGTGGGGCGCTGCTTCCCAAGCTGCCCGGCCGTCCCGCCCCTGCGTCCCCCACTCTGCTTGAGCCCCAACCCCTTTTCAGCTGGAACCCTACTCTGCTTAAACACTGGGACAGGACAAGGGGAGGAATGATGTCTGGGTCACTGCCACCCCGCCTCTGGCCTCCGCACACCCACTCCCACGATGGACCCAGCATGAGCCACACCCTTCGCGGAACCCCCGCCCCACTCACACCCCATGTGCACGGCATTCGGGCTCCCGCACCCCAGCCCTGCAGACCGCATGCGCCATGCCGCCCCAACACCTCTGAAGAGCGACGGGCCCAGGCTTCTCGCGGGCCCCACACAGCGCAGACATACCCCAACGTCAAGCCTTTGCTCACTCTCGTGTCTACTCTCCCAAGATGCTCTACTGCACCCCCACCTCTGCAGGCCTCCCACCTCGGGGAGGGCCCAGTCAGGCAGGCCCCAGAAACAGGAAGAAGGACGGACCATTGTCAGAGCAGCGGTCTATGAAGTCTCTGTGCCAAGGGGTCGGTAGCCTCCATCCTGCCTGGTCACCGAGACCCCGTCATTCTCGCCCTCAAGCTGAAGCACCTGTGGGGGCACACACAGCCAGGGCTGAGGATCCCCACTGTGGGGCCCTGGCTCCCATGGGGTCACTGGTGACCCTCACAGCCACACAGAGCGCCCCTTCCCTTCGTGTCACAGCACACACAACTGTAGCCAACTCTCACTGTCACTCGTTTTCCCAAATCTGATGGCCACAGACCATGAAGGGCAGGGGGCAAGTCTTCCTCCTGAGATATTATTTAACGTCTAGCAGACAATTTTCTATGTCCTGAGTAGAAAATTAATTCAACAAATGAGAGGAGATAAACTTCCATCATCGATAACAAATTCTTTAAGAAGCTGAATGATTCAAAGCCAGTTCTTTCTTCCCAAAGTCTTGGCATCACAGTCAAAGCTGCACCAGAGTCTCCAATGAGTAAAGCTCAAATTCTAGACACCAGGGCCCCCCCAGAAAGGTCTCAAAGATTTTGCAGAGAAGAGCCCATGTTTGAAATCTGTTAGTATCTCAGTGACTTTTCTGATGGATGGAACAGTGTTACAAGTAAAATGGAAGAGAACAGCCAGCAGCAGCACCTCACTGGAAAAAGTCAAGAAGAAAATTAAGACCTCCCATGAGAGCTTGGCTCGATGAAAGAATCGATAACATGTCCCAGGAACAGGTTAATGTGGGACATGAGCTGAAGTGTCAAGACCTCACTGTGTTATGGCAACCAAGTTCTAGAAACTTCTAGAATAATCTGGAATAAAAGTGCAGCCTATTGGGTTTCCCTCTGGTTTTCCCCTGGCAAACGTGGGATTAAGTGTTTAATTACTCACAGTCCTGCGAGGATCGATGGCGGAAGGTGAAGCGGAGGTGACTGCGATTGACGTCCTCGATGGGAATGGCCACCTTGCAGAATTGAAAAGGGAAGTTTACGCACCTCAACCAGCCTCGTCTCGCTTTACCAGCTCTATTCCGCTAGAGACACCCCGTATGGCTGCATGTGTGTCTACACTGCAGCGCTGAAAACACTGGCTACCTGATCCCGTGTGGTTTTCCCAAAGGCAACTTGCCTTCTGAAAATTTACATCAGATAATGTTGTAAAAGATGCAAAGCCAACTCTGTTGAAAAAAAGACAGCTTTTTTCCAACGTTCCGATCCTCGCTGTTAAGATTCTGTTTTTAAAGGCCACCGTTTTCGTTGTGTGCCCTCCACAGCTGCAGGGACCTGCCCTGGGTGGCCGGATGAAAGCTTTCCTTTCGTGACTTATGGTGAAAGAAAGGCCTGATGCATGCTGCCTTTAAGCAAAGATGGAGCCTAATTCTCATTGCTAGCATCTGCATGCAGCCATCCACGGCCTGGTTTTCAAATATTCAGGCCCGTGGTAGGTGTGTGCTGGCTGGTGTTCTCCACGGTGGGCCGCCGTGGCTGTCAGCACGTGCGTTATGAAATACAGTGGCAGCGCCAGGGGAACAGGACCCATCTGCCCTGCGACACCCTCCATGTAATGTCATCTCTATTTTTTTCCATTTGGTGTAAAGACAGCATTTCACACATAAAGCAGACCAAGGAAGAGAAAGACAATAGCTGTCTTTAAAGGACTCTGTCATTTGTCTCCGTGAAAGTCCTATCTTTATGTCCCAAAGGAGATGAAAGTAAATGTATTCCAAGAAACACCCGTGTGGTTCCTTAGCAACCTTGAGTGACTGTGGAAAGGCCCTCTGTTGCTAAGGGTGCCTGTCGGCGAGCGGCCCCGGGTCGGGTGGGAGGTGGGGACTTCCTTAGGGTACAAAGGAGCATTTCCTAATCAACCCCATGGGATAAAAGGGCTATGGAAATGATACCTTCACAGTCTCAAACCAGCGCGGCTGCTTCACTTGGTAGTAAATGACGGACTTGTACTCTGAAATCGCTTCATCACCAGCGCCGGGGAAAATCACATGCTTTAAAAGAAAGCATAGGAGTGCACATCAGATCTCACAGAGCTCGACACAGCATCCGTCTCCCACCTCCCGCCCCCATTAGACGGGCTGGAAGGAGAGCGCACTGCAGGAATGCCAATAAACCCCGCTGCAAATAGAACGTGCTCCCAGCGATGGAAGAACAGATCCATCTAACGCCAGCAGCCCGCGTAAAACCTTGCTTTCAGACATATAAGATCTTGAAGGCTCTGCAATAATGGGGGTGTGCTGTCCTCCACTCTTCTTACCCTCACCCGCAATAACTTCGACATTAAGATCTGCAGGAAGTCGCCTGATTCACTCAGTACATCTAGAATAAAGGGCTGCAGGTAAAATGTAGGTGACGACACTCCCTCCGCTCCTCCAGCCGCCAATACTGACCACTCGACTCCAGTGGGAATAATACTGGTTAAGCCCAAGCGGCAAGTGCAGCACAGTCCAGTGTGACGCTGGACATGGGCCCCCTGAGAAAAAGGATGCCCCCACCACCTGGCACAGCTGCGCCTCCAGTGCAAACACGGGGTGTTGAGCTCAGCCACATGTGCAGGGGGAGCCCAGCCCTCCAGCCATGGTCCAGAGAGGTAGGGGCAGGGACACCTCCCTTGCTTGGCCCTGGGACATTGGAGGAGGCCACAGTCTCCGAGCACTTCCCAGGATACTGAGTCCTGCATGCTGCTGTGACCACTCCAGAGGAGGTCTTGGTAACCAGCACTGTCCAATAGGGCACACGGTCAGATGCCCAGGTTCACGGCCAAGTTCCACCTCTCACAAGCTCTCTGAGCCTGAGCAAGCCCATTCATTTCTCTGGGCCTGAGTTCCCTCACGTCTCTAATACTGGTACCTGAACTTCTAGCAGCCCAGGGATCCCCTAGGGCAGGCTGCCCTCCAGACAAGCTGGAGAAAAGGAAGAAAGAGCAAAGGCTGTGCCCTAGAAACTCGAGCAGGTCCTTTCGTATTCTGCAGCAGAGCCAAGGCGAACACTTGGAGAGTAACACTGTAACCCCACAGGTTAAACTTTGCAACAATAAATACCTCCAGTCGTTTTCCATCTTCATCGTAAACAGACACTGTAACTTCCACATTCTTCGCAGTCGTTTTACTTCCTTTATCAAAATCTCCTTGAACTAATGTTACGTAGATATCATTTCGAACATCACCTGCGGGGGGAAAACATTATACCTTTAAAACCAATCCATTATTCATCATGTAACTGTGAATTTTGCAAAACGGTGTAACTTGCTACTTCTCCTAGCAGACTATGATCAATACTGTATTAGACGATTATGAAATATTTTCTACAAAATCATCTCAGCGTTTAAAGGCATGACAAAAGCAATTTTCATCATCGTCATAAGACTTGTGAGGAAGGGGAAAAATTTCAAGGCCCCTAATTGTCTGCTTGGTTCTTCCCCTGGGCAGAGGAGCCTCGATACCTCTGGGCAGCCCATGCCCAGAGCTGCTCAAATGCCGTGGATGAGTTTGCAAGGAGCCACCCCCTCTCTAGTGTCCACGGCTCTACTGTCCACTGCAACCTGCATGCCCAGCCCCTGTTAGGACACTGTGGTCCTCTGGGCCTCAGCAGCCAAAGGACACGTGACATCAACTGGCACACCGAGGATAATGGGCACTGTTGGTATCCTCTGCATTTCACTAAGGAGTTGCACAAAAAGATGACTAAGATGCGAACCAAAAACCATGTCCCGATTAGCTGGGATCAGGGACTAGGGAAATGTCAAAAGAGGACCTTTCTGCATGGCTCTCCTCTCCCCAGGTGGGCAGCTGGCAGGGTCCTGAGCGGGACCACGGAGCAGAAGGGGAACAAAACAGAGCCATGCGTTTTATTTTTTATTACAATGGAGTTGACATGCAATACAGACCTGTGCATTTTAAACTGGGATGGGCCTTAAATTAGGGGGGTGGGGGGGGGAACCACCCACAACTAACGAGCTGAGATGCTTCTTCCTACTGAGAACATCTGAAGGCCCTGGGACGGTCCGATGGGGAAAACTTAGCTAGCTGCGTTAGCAGTAGGACTTACAGGAAGCTTCCCCACCCAGCGCCTGCTCCTCCCACAGCTGACCCACCTGCTGAGCCCAGGGGACAGGAGGAGAAAACAGCCATGCTGGGCAAAGAACAAGGAACGCTTAAGAAAAGAAATCCCCTTGTTTTCTTGTTTCCCCCCTTTTTCTTCTTTACTGCTCTGTTTTGGCTTTTAATGTATCCAACTATTAAATTTTCATTTAAAAGTCATTATTATAATAATCCCTGTGGGCCGCTCACCGCCACTGTAGCTGCTGGAAGGAGGGCTGCGCCACGGATCCTGACCGTGAGAGACGTTAGGAACGATGGATGGGGCACAGGGCCAGCCACACGAGGCAGGGCTGCGACCAGGACCGGCCCGAAATGAGCTGTGACCTCGGACCAGTCACTTAACCTCCCACCCCTCAGCCACCCACTGCTAAACCGTCTCATTGAGAGGACGGGGCAGTCTATATGATCGCTCAGCCTGAAAACTCCATCAAAGCACAAAAGCCATAACCCAAATTGTGCGAACAGCTCCACAGAGGCCTCATCAGCCAGAGAACTAACAGGTGGAGAGGTGGGTAAACCCCAAGGTCTTCCTCTCCCACTGGCCCAGAGATGCACACTGTGGGCCATCCCAGGAGTAAGACCCCATTTTTAGAGAGTGAACCCCACAGATGGGTGCTCACGAGAGGCCCTCGGCAAATGCCTCCCGGCTCCAGGGCTCTCACTGAGGGAAGAAAGGAACTGGAAGGAGATGTGGGTGAATTCAAGGGCAGTCCTCCTTTCCCGCCTCATCCAAGCCTCCAGCCCCCTTCCCAGCTCAGGGGTCAATTGCTCCCCCACCAGGATCCCTCAGGACTCCAGGACTTCCAGTGGTCAGGAGAAAGGAGGGACGCAGCCTGCAGCAATGGCAACCGCAGGCTCTCCCGCTGAGCAGAGAGAGGTGCACGTGACAAGACGGATGACGCACAGGTTCTCCCAGGCTGCAGGCAGGGGCTCTGAGTGACACCCAGGCCTTCTCTCCTGCAAGGGCAAGGCGTAGCGGCCACCACCTGTCAGAGATTACTGGCCCACAGGGATTGGGTGACTCACTCAAGCTAGAATCTCTCACTATAGGAACCCCACTCCCAACTGAGCACATGGCACACAGCGAAACGATGGTCACCTGGACGGCTTCCCCGTGAATCTAGAATGAGATGACTTTAGAGGTTTCGATTTGCTTTTTAATCTATCAGTTGTAAGGGAAACACGACCAGTGTGAACTAGAAGCTTCCTTTGAACATGAGGACATGCCAAGGCCACCCAAGACAGACATAACCTATACATTTGCATCTCGAATTCAAGTGCAAACAACACAGCCACTAAGAAACCCAAATGAATCTGCCGTGTACAGACTTGATCATACAAGCAGTGGAGGTTCCAGCTGCATAACACGATGAGTGTCACCCTTTCTTCCTGCACAGTTTAAGCAATTTTAGATGTCTTTCATATTGATTTACCAGACAGAGTGTACCGTGACCCACAGCAATCCTGAAAGACAGGGACTAGGAAGAGCGTGTCCCCAATTGCGCTAAAATAAAGCAGTAACTGTGACAGCGCGTTGAGTGGCCACCTGTCCCCTCTCCCTGCAGGGGCACAACAGAGCCCCATAAAAGGGGGCTGCGGGGGGCTGTCGAGCGTGGGGTGGCTGGGCCCCATTTCCATTGCTCATTAGCTGTGTGACTTTAGGCGGTGGCTAAATCTTGATGGGAATTCATTCAACACCAATTTGTACATTTCCAGGATCCTTAGGTAGATCGAGTTAGACTATTAGTGTGAACATCATTCGCAAACCACAGATATAATGGATAAATATTACCATGCTTCCAAGATCCCGTGAGGATCAAATCAGATTATTAATAGGAATGTTAACTGGAAACTGAAAAAGGATCATGGGAAGGACACAGCTCAGCAGAGAGAGCTGGGGAGACTGAGGCAGGGCCCGGCGGACGCGGCGGCTCGCTCTGCCTGTGTTCCTCAGTCCAGAGAGCTGGCCCATAAGTGTCCTCAGGGTTCGGCCATTTGAGCTGGCCTTGTGTTTTCTGTTACTTGCACCCTAAAGCGTCCTAACTCCAACCAGCCCTACCGGTAGGAATTGTTATTATTCTCCATCTTCAGAGGAGGCGGCCACAGCTAAGAGAGGTCAGGTGGCGTGACCAGGCCACAGCGCCAGGGGTGAGGCTCAGAGCAAAGCACCAGGCTCCAGGCCCTGCCTGCTCACTTCTCGGGCCAAAGGCTGAGGTTCGAGGCTGTGCTTCGCTCTGGTGAAAACAATTAACCCACAACCGACCCAGGGGGCCATGTTTCAAAGCCGGGAAGACAACAGGGTATGTTCATTATACTGTGCTCCCTTCCCTTGGAACACGCTCTGGGTGATTCGAACGTTCTTATAGGACCACAGGGGGCTCGGGGCAACGCTGTAAGCCTACGTCATCGTCACAAAACAGTCGCCTTAACCTGCAGTGAACCAAGCGTCACAACCCACCTGGTTACCAGAGCCTGAAGGGAATTCTGAACAGCTCTCCCAACGGTCCCCACCAGGTCACCCTTTATTTCGTGACTAAGCATACCCAGCCAAAGCACGCACTCCTTTCAGCCAGGGACGGGCAGCAACAAAGGGTTTGCTCAGATAATGAGGACGCTCACCCAGCTGGCGACAGGAACCCACCTCACGTCCTCGGGGCTGGGTTTCTGGCAGATGTTCACGTCGCCCCCGGGTCCCTATTACTGTACTGTTAGGGCTTGTTACCCACGAGCCTTCCCAGGTTGTTATAACTGAGAGAAGCCACTTCCGCTCGGCCTGAACCTGGGAGGTCAGCTCTTACTGTGGCCACACCTCCTGCCAGCGCGCCTACAGGTCACTGTCCACATGGTCCTCTGTCACCAGCCACGGACACTCCCCAAACACCGGCTCAATCCACACCACACTCCGAAACGCTGAATATCAGCTCTTACCAGGCATGATTATCTCCGGAAACCCTGTTTTCCGAGCCACCGCCGTGGTCCTGTCCACTAAATGCGGAAACTCCTTTCTAATCTGATGGATATCGCCAGGGAGTAATTTCAGTGTTACCCACAAACCTAGAAAAACAACGGAGGCATGAGTCACGTTTTATCTTGTACATTTTTAAAAGAAGATATCACAAAGCCAACTTCCATGAATGTGCAATGTTTAATTCACAATTCAATTGTCTTAAGAGAAAACGTGGTGTATGCAAAAGAAAGAAAGACAGAGGCCAGGAAAAAGGTGCCTGGCCTGGGGGATTACCTGCATCTGATTAGCTGGGAGACAAACCGTGCCCTAGGGGTGCCTAGCGACAGGTGTGCACATAACAGCAGTCATGCGCCATGTCTGCCTGGGACCAGTGACGCTTTTGAGTTGATATGCATTTCAGATAAATCAGAAGGTAGCATTTTCTGGGAGTGGATTGAGGCGGCCATCACTTCTCGTCCCCCACGAAGGATGACAGTGGATGAGGTGAAGCTCACAGCCTGACCAATCCACAGAAGCTGCAAACTGCTCAGCAGCAGCAGTGCCTCCAGAGGTGGGCAGTGGGGCAGGCCAGGCCCGCAGGACTGGGACAGCCACAGCTGGGGCAGCCTGACAACATCACAGGACACGAGGAACAAATGCTCTGGCCACTCGGCTCTTCTCTCCAAGGGGAGAATAAGGACTGTCATGTCCTCTAACCAAGTGCAAAGGACGCCCTGGGGAGAACAGGGGTGTTCGCTAACGCCTGGGAGCTGAGCGTGTGCCCTGTTCTCCCTCCTAGAAGAGCTGATGGAGATGCGCATTTTGTATAAAACACTCCCAGGCAGGAATCCAAAAGGGGTAACGAGAGCGAATAAAGATGACACTTTTAACAAAATCAAAGGCAGCATACAAAGCAACTGCTTGGCTCTCTCAGTCGTTTTCAAGGATGCTGCCTTTCTCCCAAGTCAGAAGGGAGGTTGTCACTGTCAGCGGGCACACTGCGAGCTCCCTGAGGCCCTGGGGGGCTGGCCTACCTGCTCCCTGGTCACTGAGCTCCGCAGGACCCCACGAGCCCATCAGAATAGAAAGGCATCTGCCCTGACTCCCACTGCAATAGCCTTGTGTGTGTCTGTCTGTCTGTCTGTCCAGCTAGTCCTCCTCTAGATACAAGCCTCCAGGGAGCAGGGACATTCACCAGTGCTTAGCTCAGCATCCTGCACTCAGGAGAAGATGGGAAAACCACAGACCTTGCCAGCAAACTCCCTGCACTCTACATGGAACAGGCAGATGTCTAATGGGTCCACATGAAACGCCATCTGAGGCTGCTTCTGCCGAGACCGGCTCTACGGGATTAACCCCGCGGTCACACCCCGACCCTCTGCTCCCTCGTCCTAGCAGCAGGGCTGGAACCGTCTTTGTCCTCCGCAAGCATCTGCCTGTGGCTGACAAGAGTCCATGGTCACTGATGGCGTTTTACTCTTTGCCAGCTGCTGAAACCGCTTTCCTCTTGCCATCTACTGCGTCCCTCTGATTCATTCCCAAGTATCTAATGAGCACCTACTGTGTGCCCAACACACACTGGGCACCACAGATACCGAGTGAACCCTCGTTATCTCCCCGCCAGGGACTTGGCTTCCATTCCATGAGCCCAACACTAACCGTGGGCTCCAGCGAAATATGCAACTTGGATACAAAGAGGTTTTTAAAAGAAAAGTCCAAAACATGTGAAGACTGTATCCCCAAGACTGCCATCCTGGGGTTCACAGAATCTCCCCCAGACGAAGGGGCAGCACGCCGAGATCTGAAGGTGAGTCTGCACTAACGACGCCAGGGGACTGCAGGCTCCCAGCCGCAGGGCGGAGACGTGTGAGATCTGGCCGGGAAGCTGGCAAGGACCAACGCTGTGGGGCCCTGTCAGGCGCGGGGAACTGTGCTCCATCCGAAGGACAATGGGGACCCAGGAGAGGACAGAGTACCGAGTCTGACTTGACAGCACTGCTGGCTGTGTGGGTCTGGACTGGTGGGAGTTGAGAGCAAAGTGAGAGGGGCCGCTGCAGGCGCCCAGGGGGACGCTGGTGGGACAACGACAATGGTGGCCGGGGGAGGCGCCGGCAGGGACGGGAAACCAGAAAGGGCGGAGGGAGGGAGGGAGGGACAGCTGTCAGAGATGGAGACAGTGTGGGCAGGGCCGAGAGCAGGCTCAGGGGACCGTCCCTGAGCCGGGAAGCCTGCATCCTGGAGCAGAAGCCTGAGGAGCAGGAGCACAGAGTGAAGGGACACAGGGGTCCCGGCCGCGGAGAACGCTGCTGTTTGGAGCTCACACAGGGAAAGAGAAGCCAGCGGGGGACACGGGAGTTGGGGGAAAGCCAGGAGGGGTGGCGTCAGTGTGGCCCAGGGATAGGGGAGAGCGGGACAGCCAGGTGTCACCGAGGCCTCAGCAGGGTCACTGCTGCTGGAAAGGACGGGCAGAGGCCAGCAGAGAAGACGAAGGCCAGCGACGGCGGGGAAAGGCAATGGGACCGAGGGATGATTCCAGGTGCGGTTTCCTTTTTTTTTTTTTTTTTTTTTTTTTGGTTTTCCCTTTCTTTTCTTTTAGGTTTTTTTCTTTTTCTTTAGTTTTAAGATCTAGCAATCCTGCTCATGAGGGGAGTCTGAAGAAGGAAGAGAAGTATAACCAACAGAAGGAGTTCCTCATGAGATGTCGGGGTGGCCCCACACAGGGGCACGGGCATCACTGCTGAGGATGTGACCTGCACAAGGCGCATGGCAAAGGCAGGCCAGTGGGGGCTAAACCCAGCCCCCACTCTGCTCACCAAGCCACGCGCCCCGGCCCTGGGTGCACTTCGCCACTCACCCAGAGGATGGGCCCCTTTTTCTAACCCACACAAAAGCACCACAGGCTGGCGGCAGCTCTGGGCTGGCAGGACATGTGAGCAGACAGACCTTGGAGCGGCCGGACCGCAAGCCCTCTGTCCTCTAGAAGAGTTAAACCAAGTGAAGGGAACACTCACAGACACACAAGGGGAATTGTCACCGCCATGGACATGACAGCTGCTCCCTCCTGGGGATACCAGGGTGCAGCTAACGGTCCTCAAATCTTAGGAGTGTGAGTCCCAAACCTCCCAACGGAATGAGTGGCTGCAGAATAAATCTAACTCAAACACATATGTCAAAGCCTGTCAGGGTATGATGAAGACATTATTTACAGGGGCCTAAGGTAAAGAAATGGGGACAAGACATTTAAAAACCGCATTCTAAAATTCTGTCTTCCAAACACCTTTTCTTTCTCAAAAATACCAGCTCGCTCAACTATCTTAGTTCAGAGACTAGTAACTTAATGACACAGTTCCATTTGTTTCAACACAATATAAACACAGATTCAATCTTCCTGATTATGATGGGCTTAAAACACATTCCTCATGGGAGAAAATAAGGCCCATTTTCTAACAAAAAATGCATTTTGGGTTGACTTTTGCTTAACCAGAGTAAGTAAAAACAAAAGGAATTAGCATTGCATTACATCTCAAACAATGAGAGCAGATGGGGGGGGGGGGCATCTGAAGAGTCTCTGGCCACAGGAAACAGCCAGCGCCTCTGGATTCAGGGTTCAGGGCTAAGCCTCTGGATTCAGGGTTCAGGGCTAAATATAAAAGACGTTGTCAATTACAACAAGTAAACATGTCGATGTAAAGAAACCCCAAAGAGGCCCAAGCCTGGAGGGGAGCTCAGAGGAGCCAGGCGCCAGGAGACCACGGGCATGGGGGAAGCTCGCTGGTTCTCGGTGGAGAGGGCAGCCCCTCCTGCCTGCCCACTGCCCTGCTCTGCACTGGGGCTCCATGTGCACGTGACAGGGTGGGCCTGGCTCGTACCAATGGCGACACGGAGCTCCGTGGGGCAAGTCCCGCAGGCTGGCAGCCAACTCTACGCTGTGTTCACTGGGCCCCGGCCGGCAGCTTGGCCTGGAATGCACCGAAGGCGCCCCCACAGTGCGCCCCGAAACGCTCGCTTCCGTACACCTGAGTGAGTGACATGGCCCCAGGGCACGTGGCTTCAGAGGCCACGTGGTCCCCTTGGAAAAACAGTCAATGTTCTTGTTCCTGTGACCTTAAGACACCCCTCCTGCCCTTGGAGTTCAAGGAACTGGGCCCCCTGGCAGCAGCTCCTTGGCCACTGGTGTCACAGATTCTGGCCACAGTACCAGCGAGACTGACAGGCAGGCTTTGGGTCCTCTTTCCAAGAAATGTCCTGCTCGCCTGACCCCAGTCTCCACTTCTCCCATGTGACCCTGTAATAAAAGTTGATCAAAACTGCAGACTCAGCGAGAACAAGGAGACCCAAGGGGAGCCAGGGGCCGGGGGCCTGGCGCCCCAACCTGACAGTGGCTCCAATGGAAACAGCTTTCACTGGACCTCCCTGTGGTTTTCAGTTACAGCGCAAATTGGGAGGGTGTTTCTTTATGAGAAGATGGGGCAGCTTCAAAAGGCTCTGTCTATACCAGTCACATTTCATTAACATTGGCGTTGGAGTGTTATTCTGCTGTTGTTTGCCAGGTAGGGGGTAATTCACACCAACAGAGCCAAAGTTCCCTCCTGCTGCAAAGCAATTGGACCCCAGAACATTCTTCAGACTCAATTCATACTCTCCTTTATAACACTGGGAAATGAATCAAGACAACTGTTTCTTAAAAGTCTAGTGGCATAAGGTAACTAGACGATGAAACAGGTCTGTTCACCTAGGCTTTACAAGTTTATGGCAAGTCTGGATCTGATCAGGGACTGAGAAGTAGATGTTCCCACCAGGGCTGAACGCAGCAGAGGTAGGAGGGCTCTGAAGGTGACTTCCCCTCAGGCTGGAGGCGGGGCCTCAGGAAACAGTTGTTTTCTGGCAGCCCTCCTGGCCTGCCCAAGTGCCAACTGTCACCAGCCCGAGGTGATTGATTCATTGCCTCTGCCAGCAGAAGGTCAGCAGCTTAGAAACTTGTCAGCCTGGGATTAACAATGATGAGTGCAAGACGGGGAGGCAGGGAGGAGAAATCGCTCCAACTACAAACACGACATGGAATTCATGCACAAAACGAAGCCACTTTCTCAGGGGCACAGGAGAAGGGGTCCCAGAAAACAATGTGGCAGTGATTAGGATGACACAGGCAAGGATAAGCAGAGAGAAGAGTGTGTGGGAAGGTGGGGCGAATGTCTCCATGAGTCTATAAACAGCGAGGTGATGTAACAGCCAGTGGACAGCTACTGTGTTCTCTTGCAAACTCATCAAGTGTTTTAAAAAATGATTAGGATGAGAGAGGTGACTAGAGAAGACTGAGGAAGGCAAACAAATGAGTTGCTTCCAGTCTCATCAACTCTGGTTTCCAAACATCTCATTGTATCCCACTCAGCCTTCCCCTCTCATCTAGGTTGGCTCTCAGCAATGCTCATAAAGGTGACCAGGAAGGGAACCCTCCTATGCTATGTCAGGGACAAGTACACGCCATCAACAGCAGCAGCAGCATTATCATCACCATCATCACCTTCCCCATCGTCATGACCATCATCGTCTTCATCATCAACATCACCATCACCACCACCATCATCACCATCATCATTACCACCATCATCACCATGACCATCACCACCATCACCACCTCATCACCACCATCACCATCATCACCATCGTTATTATCACCATCACCATCATCACCACAATCACCACCATCATCACCACCATCACCACCATCATCACCACCATCACCATCATCACCATCGTTATTATCACCATCACCACCATCACCACCATCATCACCATCATCACCACCATCACCACCATCATCACCACCATCATCATTATCACCATCATCTCTCTCATTATCACCATCACCATCATCCTCATCATCATCTTTATCATTATTATCACCCCCATCATGATCATCAAACTAAAATGCAAACCACACAGCACTGTCCCAAGTTCATATAAGTGGACATCTATAGAAACAAAACAACAGAATACGTACCCTGGCCCTTGTGGTTGACTTCTTTGGCAGCAATGACTTTGTTTATAACAGTCTGAAGGAAGTCATTCTCCCCTGCCACCCTGGGTGAAAAACGGGATGACATGTTCAGCGGCTTGTGTCGAATGGCGTCATCCAACGCGAGCCTGGAGGGCACGGGACGAGCAAGACCACAGGAGACAAAGGGGCACAGAGACCCAGAGGTCACGGTAACAAGGGAACACAAGAGATCATCGTCACCGAGTGCGAGAGAGTCATCATGAGTCAACGCACGACAAAGGACAGGATAGGTGACAAGAGAGACACGGAAGAGCATTGATCAGGAAAATGCTGAACCACATGAGAAAAGTAAAGCAAACGAGGTTGATCCTATCCCCAGGAAACAAAGGGGTGCCAGGCCTGCACTCTTTTTAGCAGGCAATAAAGAAAAAAGGGGAGCTTCTCTGAAAGTAATGTGGTTGGGCATCATTTAATCCCAAGGAATACTGATGGCCATTTCTTCAATTTCAATAGCTCCTGGCCATGGCATAGGTCAATAGGCAGGTGGTTTCAAGGAAAAGGCAAAAATATATACCCCAAAAAAAAGACTCCTCCAGCTTAATGTCTTGGGAAGCTTAGGTGGTGACCACTCCCCTGCATCAGACTGTGTACTCGGTACAGCCTAAAATACTTAAATGTGAAAAACATGGCGTGGTCTTTGAAGACGACAACCACCGTGTCTGAAAAGTGAAATCCTGGCACAACCATGGATGTCAACCACCAATATTTTGGGGGCCCAGCAATCGGGAGCTTTTAACAGAAGCTGCACTAGAACCAAGAGAATAAATGCAAATAGGCAACATGTGCAAAGAGAAATTCTGTGTAGCACAGCAAAGGGCGATATTCAATGAGCAAGGAAACATACGTCATGTACACAATGTTTAAAATCATTTCTAGAACCAAGGACATGTATTATTCATCACTTGAGCCCACATTACTCAAGAGAGCTGAGGACTATTTTAATCTACTTCACCAAGTTAAAAAAGACACGGGGAGAGAGAGAGAAATGTACACTGTGCCTCCTTCCCTAAAACTTATCCTGTAATACAATAAATCAGTTTTAATGGAGCAAAAAACGGTTTCATTAGCATGGCATTTCCCAAAGAACTGGTTTCATTGCTTATTTTGCTATTAAAGGCATGTTGCTCTTTTGTTTCCAACACTGCAAATATTAATCTGGATATTAGTCTTCCTTTAATGGAGCAAGGAGTTACAGATTACAGTGAGAGTTGAACACGTAATAATATTTTTTCAAGTGGACAGTTCACTGAACGATGGAAAAAGATGGTGGCAATATGCCATCTCAAGTAGCTCACAACATGTCCTGATGCTCTTTAGATTAGTGAATCGAACACTAAGAATCCCCCTAACTTTTCAAACAATCACCCAAGTTTGTTTGTTTTTTTCCCCTTGACTTTTCCCAGAAGACACTAGCAGGCAATGGGTAATTTCGACTCAGCGGTACATCTGGGTATTGAGAAGCTCTGAGGTCTAATCCATACTAGAGCACTCAAACCAGTACTGGGCCGCATTATTTCTCATGGCAAAAGCAGCAGCTTGATATTCTCATCTTACAAAGGTGTATTTTATGTATTACCTCATTATCTGCCCATGTTCAAAGACAATGGTCCCCTTGTCTACTGAGGAAGCTTCTAGATTCTGCAGAGCTGGCTTCCTTTGTAACTACCTTCACTGGGTATAGCTCTGAAGCAGCTCTATCCAGGGGATGGTGGAAACGTCCTAACTCTGCGCTGACCGATAAGGTAGCCGCTTAGCCACATGTGGAACTGAACACTTGAAATGGGACCCGTGTGACTGAGAAGCTAAATGTTTGATTTTATTTCATTTTCATTCACTGAAGTAGCCCCATGTGGCTAGCGGTTACTGTTTGGGGCAGAAGAGTACATCTGAAGCACTGAAGCCACAAATGACTTTTGCCTCCGGTTGGGAGACACATATAACGGAACCCCAACTGCGAGCTCAATAGTGCAGGCTTTTCTGGTACTCTCGTGTCAAAGGGTACAGGGTTTTCTTCTGAGCCAAGCCCCAGACAAACCACTCTGTTCTCATCTTGAACAAGTGGTCAATCCTGGGGCTGAGTGGGGTGGTCTGTTCATGCAAGGAGGTGGGGCCCACAGGGAAGCGGACTCTATCGCCTGCCCCTCGCAATCCCCAGACAGGACGCCTTCAGCCCCCCACTGCGTATCACCCACCTCCAAACCCCCTCGGCCAACACCTGAAAATGATGTAAAATTTCTAAAATCAAACTTGTTTCAAGTTTGCAACCACTCACGTCAAACCAGAAATGAGGAGAAAAGGGAGAATGTTGGGCAAGATGACAGGTCATGCTAACTTGCCTTGTCATTCACTCCTCTTCCGCGATTTCACACCCCAGGAGGAAGCTGTCTCTCACAATTGACCTGAACCATTCTAATCCCTTTCTCGCTCTCTCTCCACCCCCGGCTGAGATGTAGCAGTGCCCTTGAAGTGGCCTCAGACCATTAGCTAGGTTCCCTCCTGCTTTAATCTCCAGGGAAATAATACCAATTCTTTCAGCCTTTTCCACAGGATCTACCTTCAAATCAGAGAATCAATTTAAAGAATCTCCTCCAAACGCTTTCCAAGCTCCCTGTGCCACTGCAGATTTCATGTCAGAACTAGAGAAATCCCGGACAAATCCTTAAAATGGCACGGACAGCTAAAGTCCACGCTCAGCACCAATCAAGACAGAAAAACCAGCAGCGCACTCGCTTGAAAGTATTATTTCTCACTTTACAAAAAAATTCATTGTTTTGTTTTTCTATTTTAAAAACTGCAACCTCCTGTGATGAATTTGAAAGTACTATATTTTGGAAATGTGAATCACTGCTAGAATAAATCAATTATGTAAAGAAACATCCACGCTCGGAGCAGAACTGTCATTCCGCGTGCCCCATGCAATAAGGCAATTCCGAGATTACATGTAAAATCTTCTACTTGCAAAATGGTAAACTAACTTTAACCCTGGGTTCTTATGGCTACAAAAATCCCATGTGTTATAGCAGTGACTAAACTGATTTGTCATTATTACAAAATAATCAATCCCTATTTGTGCTGAATTTATAAGCTTAATTATGAAGATAATTATTACAAACATACGTTTTCCATATTCTATCCAGTTCCATACTTACGGCTGAAAGGGGATGAAATGCTGTTTATCTTCGTCATCTACTTTTCCATTTATTATATCTGTTACATCCATCACTGGGGACAAGAAAAGAACAGAGATTGTTTTTGTACAAATGCTATAATCACAGAAAACAAACAAACAAAGGAACATTAGAATGCCTTCAGACACACAACAGCATGAACTGCAGGGGGGAATTTTCTTATATTCAAGTAAATCATTTCCCTGTTTGAAAGACAAAGGAAGTTCTCTGCAAACAGAGGCCAAAATGGAGTTGAGGCTCAAATGGCCCAGTTCCAGTTAATAAATCCCTCTGCCGGTTATTCAATGGGCACCCTAGAGTTGTACTTTCTGAGAGCACTCTGTGTGACGATAGAATCTTCTCTAACAATGAGCACCTGAAATGTAGCAAGCAAGTGTGATGGACGAACTGAATTTTCACTTTGATTTTATTCATTTAAGTAGCCACACGTGGCAAGGGGCTGCCATACTGGCCAGCGTGCTTTGGTTACTGCACTCCCCCCAGCAATACAATCATAACAAAGTAGCTGCAATGTACACACCACATGCTGATACCTATGGACGCTGTTTCAAGGGTCACACGACAGCTATCCTTCACAATCACCTACGACACAGCTGAGGACACCGAGGCTCAAAGACATGAATGAGTGAAATTTCCCAAAGTCAGAGAGCCAGAAAGCCACCATACCCAAGTTCAGACCAGCAAGACAGCAAGAAAGCCCAAGACTGGCCCTCGGTGACACTGGACGCTGTCTCTGCTCAGCCTCCACATTTGACCAAAGATAAGTGAGCAACATACCTCATTTATATGTTTTTCCACAATCCCTTCCCTAGTGAGTAGAATCTTATATTGCAAATGTGGGCATTTCTATCACCTTCCCCTCCAAAAACTGGGGAGGGATCTGTGGGACCAGGACACAGGCATCCCGACCTGCCGGTTGGTTTAGTGGAGCCCTACAGAGTGCATCCTAAGGAAAAACACCCCCACACATGCCCGGGAACCAGTGCTACTCAGAGAGCAAAGAGCCTACCGATGTGTTTAGAGACATAGGTAAAAGAGTCGCAAATAATTTGGAGCATGGAGTTGCTGTTGCTCAAGAAACGAATGGCCTGGACTCCAGTCTCCACCTGGTAGAAGACTTTCCAGCTTCAAGCACTATTGGTGGTGACTGGTTGGCATGGCAATCACCATATTGTTAAGATGCTGTTAGGTCCAAGACCACATTTTGACCACCTGTTCAGAATCCTCCAGTAGAGCTGATTTTATAGCCAAAGTCCAACCAGCCTCTGGTACTCGTAGCAACAGTCCACACACCCAGCTAGGGGCAGAACAAGGTTCATCTGACCTAGGAGACCATCCCCGCACCCCAGCTGGCAGTGGGCAACGGGTGTCCTCTGTCACAGGACTCATCCCACCAGCTGATTGTGAGTCTCCCTGGCGTCCATCCCTCTTGCCAAATCCCCAGGCTGCAGCCCTGGAACACACCAGAAAGACAGCAGCGCATCCCAGCAAGGGCGCAAGAAATGCAACCTCAGCGTGAGTGCCACTGTGGAGAAGGCAGCCTTACTCCTGCTGTCCCCAGAAGTGACAACCCTTTCCGGCCTGCCCACCCCAAGCCTCAGAGAAGGCTTAGAAATCGGTCATCACGTATTTTCCCAATGACTTTCCCTCGCCACTCTTCAACACGCAGGCCCATGCAAGGACGTTCTCACTGTGGTTGGGACTTTGGCCTCAAAAGGTCCCTGTCACCAAAGGAAGAGATGAAGGACTGGGAAGGGGGATGGGAGGAGGGGTGACCTCCACGCTGACAGCTCAGGGTCTCTACATTCAGGTCTGAGGACCAGTCTTATGAAAGCCACGAGCCCAGCTGTATGCAGTCCGTGTGACTGTGTGATGGAGGGTAAGAAAGGCCTGGCAAACGTGACATCGCGTCATGCAGGGAGGTGGCCTCGTGACGCAGTGACGGAGGATCAGGGACGGCAAAGGCAGGAAAACCGGGAGGCCAGGGAGGAGGAACACACGGCAGAAGACAGGCCTGGCAGGCTCAGGAGGTCACCTCAGGACAGCGTGCTCACAGCAATTGCGCACGAGGCATGAAGGAGGCCAGGATGCAGCTCCATTTCTTGGGGTTCATCCTCCGCAAACCGTCAGAGGGGCACAAAATTCCAAGTTCAAGGCTGTTCAGCGCATACCTACTTTACCACAAAGCTGAAAGCATCCCCAAAGCCCAAAAATAGAGGGGTTGTTGAAATAATGACACAGCCATAGATAATAGCCAATGAAAACCCCAAATTTCAAATAATAAAATGAAGTGTTCATGATAAGATGTTACATTTTTTTAAAAGATCAAAATGTACAAAATATGCAATGTGAATATACTTAACACTACTGAACTATACGCTAAAAATGGTTAAATGGTAAAAAAAATAAAGGCTAAAGAGACCAAAAGAGTAAATAAACAAACAACACAAAATACAACACCAGACACAGTAGGATCTGAACTTGTTTTAAAAAATTATAAACCACACACATAGAGAAAAAAACTAGAAATATATTGGGTTATCATGAGGTAAAACCCAGGTTAAAATTATGACTGTCTTATGTTTTAATTACACTTTTCTTTCCTTTTCATAATTTTACAATTTTATATCACTTTTATGTGATTAAAAAAGAAGCATAACGTATATGTTCAATAGACATCGAAGAAGTGTAGGCTTACGGCGAACACTTTGCTAACTGGGACTCTGTGGGCGTAAACAGGCAGAAGTTATTCTGGATAAAGCCTCAGAATTAAATCCGTATGTGCAAACTGTACTTGCACAGGAATGGCAGAAAGACAAAGCTGGAGGTATCATGCTTCCCTGATTTCAAACTCTATTACAAAGCTGTAGAAATTCAAACAGGATGGTACTGGCATAAAAACAAACACATAAATTAATAGAAAAAAATAGGAAGCCCAGAAATTAACTGACACATATATAGTCAATTAAGTTATGACAAAGGCGCCAAGAACATACAATAGGGAAAGGAACGTCTCTTCAATAAGTGGTTTGGGAAAACTGGACAGACACATGCCAAAGAATGAAACTCGACCGCTATCTTCTACCATACACAAAAATTCACTCCAAATGGATTAAAGACTTGGATGTGAGTCCTGAAACCATAAAACTCCTAGAAGAAAACATAGGCAGTAAGCTTCCTGACATAGGTCTTAGCTAAGATGATGTTTTGAATCTGATACCAAACGCAACAAAAGCGAAAACAATCAAGTGGGACCACATCAAACTAAAAGGCTTCTGCACAGCAAAGGAAACCATGAACAAAAGGAAAAAGCAACCCACTGAATCGCAGGAAATATGTGCAAATCATATAGCTGATAAGAGGCCAATATCCAAAACATATAAAAAACTCACACAACTCCACAGCAAAAAAAAAAAAAAAAAAATCAATTAAAACTTGGGTATCTAATCCCAGCTTGGGTCTTAGCTAAGACTTGAATAAACATGTTCCCAGAGAAGACATACAGACGAACAACAGGTACGTGAAAAGATGTTCAACATCACTGATCATCAGGGAAATGCCAATCAAAACCACAGTAAGCGACCACCTCACACCTGTTAGAATGGCCGTCATCAAAGAGGTAAGAAATAAGTGTTGGCGAGGACGTGGAGAAAAGGGAAGCCTTGTGCACTGTTGGTGGGGATGTAAGAAGGTGTATCTGCTATGGAAAACAGTGTGGAGGGCCCTCAAAAAATTAACGATAGAAATACAACGTGATCCAGCAATTACGCTTCTGGGTTATTTATCTGAAGAAAGTGAAAACGCCAACTCACAAAGATATGTGCAGCCCATGTTCATTGCAGCATTATTTACAATAGTAAAGATATGGAAATCATGAAGTATCAATTGATGATGGATAAATCGATGAAGAAATTGTGATATATATATAAATACTAATATATATATATTGGAATTATATGAAAAAGAGTTATCTTGCCATTTGCGACAACATGGATAGAACTCGGGAGCATTTTGCTAAGTCAGAGAAAGACAAATGCCATGCGAACTTCTTATATGCAAAAAAAAAAAAAAAAGCATGGATACAGAGAACAGATTGGTGGTTGCCAGAGGCAGGGGCTCGGTGGGAGAAATGAATAGAGGAGGTCAAGATGTGAAAAGAAAAATGAAAAAAAGAGCAATGCCAGGGATAGTTTGACTAAGAAAAATAAAGTAATTGTAGTTGGTGATTACATTTTTCTGTGATGTAATATGATTTTAGTCATGTTACAACCTCGGAAATCTTTTCCTGTATCCCTCTAGCCATCTCCACCATTATATTTCATTGTGAACATTTCAGCATGTTTTTTTTCCAAAATGCTTTCTGTGGTAGTGAAGATGCCACAAAGGTGTAGCAGGCCCTAGGGAAATGCTGCTGCTAAGTCATGGTCTTTGCCCTGTAAAGCTCAGTCTAGAGCGGTGGGCAAAGAATTGTAATAGTTGTGTTCGCACAGCGGGATGTTACGTCCTATGATAGAAGAATTCATAGGGTGTTATGGGGGGTAATCCAGCCTGTGTTGGAAGTGGGGCTCAGGGAAAAGTTTTTATAGGAAATGATGCTTTGAAATGACTTTTTTATTGTTGCTACCATTATTTTTAAAATTTAAATAAAATGCACAGATTATAATCTAGCTCCATGAATTCTGAAAAATGCATACATCCATGTAAAAACCACACCCAACAAGATATCAATCACATTTTCATCACACATGCAAAAAAGTCAACCTGTGAAAGCTGAGAAGATCTCCATTGTAATCAGAAGGCGGGCAAAACTGTTAGCCTCTGGTCTAGAAGGTCATCACTGTTTTAAGAAATCTGTGTACTCAGAGGAACTTATCGCTTTATGGGTAACATAATAACCAAAGAATTTACAGCATCTGTGTGGGAAAGAGGCCCAACTTACATACACTGTCAAAGACTTCTCTGGTCAAGTAAGCGAAGCCCAATACACCTGAGGTGAAATTAAAATACTCCCTTAAAACTACCATAGAGCTGGGAAAGAGAAAAAAGGACCCTGAAAAATTACATGTATTTCAAGTATAGTATCAGATTACACATAAAAGATACTACAGGTTCTGAAAAGCAGAGGTACACTTTTAAAGCATGTATTCACGTAATCAGGGAAGAAAACGTGAAGCGATGTCCTGAGCCCACACTCTTGGGGACCTCAGAAACGCAACCTCGCCCTCAAAATCTCACTCACAAATGGAAATTCAAAGGTATACCCCACCCCATCATACAGCCCTGTTGGTAAATGGAAGTAAAATGAATTAACGTGCTTCTTTCTCAGAATGCCTATATCGCTTATTATTTAATCCTGATATCACAGTAAATCATTTATTTAAATGATTTGATGTTTTAGCAATAAAATCCAGGCAGAAGGCAGAGGATTTTTACAGCAGTGAAAAAACTGTGTATGATACTAAAATGGGGGATATAAGACCATTAAACATTTGTCAAAACCCACAGGATGTCCAACACCCAGAGTGAGCCCTCATGTAAACTATGGACTGTGGGTGACGCGTCAGTGGGGGTTCATCTGTTGTAACAACCGCAGCACCTTGGCGCAGGATGTGAACAGTGGGGGGAGGCTGTGCTCGCGTGGGAAAAGGGGTACAGGTGGAAATGCTCTGAAATCTCTATATGCTCTGCTCGATTTTGCTATGAACCTTAAAACTGCTCTAAAAGTAAAGTCTATTTAAAAGGGGTTAAAAACAAAGCAAAACAAAACGAGAAAACAAACAAACAAAAACTAAGCCCTGAGTTTCCGGGTAGCCAAGGTAAAGAATGTCTTCCATTGCTGTTCATACAAGACACACAGCTACGTATCAGAAATAAAGAACTTTTCCCACATATGTCTTCACATTAAGTCCCAAGATTCACAAAAAGGACGAGAATAGAGGCTGTGGAGCGAAACGCCACTACAGCCATCAAATCGTGAGGAAACTCCCTTCCCAAAAAAGTGAAAAATGAGTGACAGTGACGAAGGCCCACTGATGAGGGCTTCCTGGGGACACTTCCATCTTTGCCCAACAGAGATAGCTAATTTCCCCCTTCTCCTGTGCTGTCACCAAACCAAACCAAACCAGAGCACAAACATGGAGACGATGGTCAGGGTCTACGTCCTCCTGCTTTGCTCTTCTTCTACCTCTTCATCAATCAATCAATCAATCAATCATTCAATCCAGAATCCTGACAGCCCCAATGACTGGCTTCCCTCCAGGCTGCAAATGGGGTCAGGGTCTCCCCAGGAGAAGGGACCCACTTTAAAACCAAATCCGTGATTTACGTCTGAAACTCGGCTGCATCCTGAGCAGCCTGTGGACCTCAAACCACCCAGAGGAGAACCGACAGATTTTCTTTCTCTCCCACAGACAAGCTGACAGATCCACCATCCAGTGGCAGCGGCAGCGCAGCAGCAGCTCTCTGCTCAGGGTGAACTTGTAACAAGGAGGAGACAAATGGTTACCGGCCACGCCGAAAGGCCGCCGCAGGCCCGAGGTCAGTTTCCTGGCACTGTTCTCCCGCAGCTCCATGCGGCCCACGCGCACGATCTGACACACGAAGCTGATTTTCTCCCTTTTCAGGTCTTTGCTTCCGAGGTCCTGGAAACATTCATTTCCATAAATTACTGTGGAGCACCATTACTCAATGCAGGTTCAATTGAAACGGACAGTAAAGAGATGGATGGCGACTCATTTCTCTAACCAGTTTTTAGCATTTTAATAAGCTGTTCACATGGTGAAAAGGAACTGAATAACAATAGTCAATTAACCTCAAGTGGATGTAAGATACAAGCTTAAGAGCACTGTTCATGGTACTGGAGTAAATCTCTGTTCTGGGGATTTTAAGGGAAACTAGAGACCCATAAGGCTTCTGGGAAGGGGGTGCTATAACTACATTAGCATGTATTACAGGGGTCCCAAAAACCCAGGCTCTAGAGCCCCAGGAGGTCAGAGGGGCATCGTTCAAAATCATCATTTGAAAGGGGAGCAATTCAACTGAATAAAGTTGGATTCACTTACAGTAAAAACAGCTCGCAAATTATGTAATCTGTCTATGTCTTTAGGCAATCCTGAACTTGACCAGCGAACAAGGTAGTTTTCACTTGAAAAAGAAAGAAAGAAAAGCAAATTAATTTTCCAAATATAACAGGACACCAAATGTACCCCCACATTGACTCATAGTTACTGTCACAGAAGGTCCACGGCACAGAAAACTGTGAGTTCAGAAATATCAACAGTGTCAAACAGAGCTGCCCTTCTGTTACCACGGGAGGGAGGGAATGGCCCATGCAGGTGGGAAGCCCACAGGTGCGGTTCGAGGGCTGCCTGCACCAAGCCCTTGGGAGGTTTTTCTTTTGGATGTCTAGGGCTATGATTACAATGGACGGATCTATGATTACAAATGCCAGATCAACATTTATTTATCTCGAAAGCATCCTTGTTCTTTTAGAATAACTACAGTTTAAAATTCACCATCCATTTATAATATAAACACTGCATGTTTCTTTCAGAGTCTATGACAAACCAAATATGACCTAAAAACACAAGAAATAAAGTCCTTATCAGAAGTGAGAATGAAATTCACCCATTTGTTCTTTTTTCTGTTACATACTGTTTTTGAGTAATATAAGTGAAGATACTGGACTTTTATGGGCATGTGTGTGCGCGCGCGCGCACACACACACACACACACACACACACTTCACACATAATCTTAACCATCACTTTTCTGTCTGGACAAAGAGAAAGTTATACTGAGGGACAAAGGCAAGAGCTAAGAAAGAGACCACCATATCAGAAAGGACAGGAGTGGCACATGCGATGTACAGTATTTTAGTCAACAACTATTAACTGACAGCCTTTAGGAGGCAGGCACCGTTTTGGACACTATATTCCAACCAATCATATTGGAGAAATAACAATAGGTGAAAGGTCCAGAGGTGACATTCACAGAGAACAAAAAATAAATAAAAAAAACAAGATGAAGGGAACCATGCTATTTGGGGACCTTGTGTATATAAAATCTTACGAACATAAGAGACAGGGCATTAATTACTCCAATCTTCAGTTGCTAGGTCCTTAAAACTTTACAAGACAAAAACTCTACAATCAAAGACCCACTGGACACGTAAGAAAGCCGACCCTGGCCCCGAGCCCAAGCTAGCGGCCATCACACTGCCCCACAGGGCACCGGCTCAGCTGATGGCAGACTCTGGCCAGCTGATGCCCCCAGAGCCCTCTGCGGGAGCAAACCCCTGTGCCGGGTCTGAGGCCATTGCCCTAACGCTGACCAGAGCAAGGACAGCAGCCCGGCACGTCACTGACCTGATGAATTTGGACTCCCCGGGGTCATAAAGCGACATGAGCACTTCGGCATCTTCTCCAATTTTACAAACCACATTTTTGAGGTTGACAAACAAGGCCAGAGAAGGAGTGGCGGCAAACTTGGCTTGTCTGTTAATATCTATGTTCTGCTTCTGAGACTGGAAGCGGAAGGAAAACAGAAAGGTGGGTTAGCAACAGTCATCACTGCCCCTTGCTGTTTTATTCCCTACGGAACAGAACACGGTACAGAACCAGTTGGCATAGCACAGCACAGCCATTCAGGCAGTAGCTTTCTTGTCCCTGCTTCAAGTTCTCAAAACAAGCAAACGCCCAACTAAAACCAAGAACGCCCTGGGCAAGGGTCACACGTGCGTACGGAGTATTTTCATCAGAGATATAAAATGCTGAAGGGTCCAAGCAATAAATCAGAATGGTGATTGCAGGTGTAGTGGCTTGCTTCATTTTGGGTTCTCCCATGAGACTAAACCCTCTGAGGACACCTCTATCGTATTCATCATTATGTCCTAAGTACCTGGCACGCAGTAGATATTCAATAATTACTTGCTGAAGGAATGGGTGCCTCAATCAGTCGATTGATTTCTGAATATCTACCATATACTAGATACCATTAAAGGCCATTGAAGATGAGAAAGATAAAAAAGACATGCGTTCCCTGCCTTCATCAAGCTTACAATATGTCACCCTCCTCCTCAGATCAAACAGGATGTACAGAATCAAATACTGTTTCCCATGAGATGAGAACAGAAAGCCAATTATTAGGGTCCTGCCCCCTGAGATGGAGGGCGACGCTGCACACCCCCCACCCCCAAGGGATGAAACCCTTCCAGGTCATGAGCACCATGATTTGACACCGGGCTCCGTTCCATCCATCACTGTATGAAATGTGCTGGGTCCGTTGCCTGTTCAGGTCCTTTCTAGTGTTAATTCTGGGCTTCGCCGGTGTTTTCCTGGTGTGGATAATCATTCCCGAGAAAGTGTACTCCAGACGTAAATGGCGTATTACAAAGCACTGAACTTACTTTTTCTTCTTGTAACCTTTCCTCCACTTGTTTAGAAGCGATTTCGTGAGCTCTGAAGAGACTAATCGTGCTAGTTAGCTCTGGGTCCAGGATGTTCCCGTCTTCGTCTCTCACCACCAAGTCCAAATCGAGAATTCTACAATGACAAGAATTCAGAACTTCATGGACACAAACCAAGGGCCTTAAATTCTCTAACACAATTTCAGCCCTGGCAACTGAGCAGATTAAAACATCCCAGCAAGTCGGGGTCACCACAAACATTCAGGGAACATAATTCTGTAAGGTCACCTTCTTTAACTTAAAACATATCTACTTGGATACAAGAAAACACAAAGTACTCAACTTTTACTTCCATTGCAACAGTGACTTTGTCTTACAATGGGAAATTTTACAGATCGACAAAGCACAAACGAAATATGTTATTATTATGTGACCAGTGTGGAGAGTTTAAAGCACACACGTGCTATGTATGTTGTGGGAGGCATGGTATATAGGAAAAGTGTGTATATGTCTGTGTATACATACACATATAGTTTGTGTGTGTGTGTGTGTGTGTGTGTCTGTGTGTCTGTGTAGTTTGCATGTATATACACATATACCGGGGGTGCCAAACAAATGTATGCAAGTGGACATTTTGGTCAACGCTGCTCAAGCAGTAGTTCGCCGTAATCAGAAGTGTCTGGACACTGATGGGAACCACTCTGAGCACCTCTTGTAATTGCAGAACCCAAACGTGACTTGTACTCATCTTTTCTTATTGGTATATATTGAGTATTACAATTGTAATAGTTTTCCTTTCTTCAAATGTGTATACATTTCCTTTGGCACCCTCTGCTTATACACATACATACACACAAACCCTTACATCCGAATACGTCAAGCTGGTGGGGCAGGAGGAAGGGTGGAAAGGCTGGCGCCGAGGCACACCCACCACTCACTGTTTACTCATCACTGCCCCTGGGGGAGTCATCACAGCTTTCCTTCTACCTAGAGTCAGTTCTGATCCCTAAATTAGCCCATCAGAAGATTTTTCAATCAAGATGTTCTGTTGCATTTCATCTGCACACATATGGAAGTCATCCACAATGACGTTCAGCACCTTTCTGGCAGGAGGTGCAGTGTGGCAGCCAACTCCCCCCACACGCAGCCTCTGGCCAATCAAGCTGCCCATCTACCTCCGGAAATGCTTTTGGGCAACATTCTCTCCGTTTCCCCAAATCCAACAAAATCATTTTGTGATTTTTACCGCAATTTGTATTTAAGAACAACAAAAAGGCAATTAAATACAGACGGAAACCAAGAGTTGTGCTCTGGTGAAGTGTTGTGGTGTTCTTTCTGGTATGGCATGAGGACCCTCACCACAGATGTTTTTGGGATTTTCTGTCTGCTATTAATAAGTCTATTGAAGCGGAAATTTTTAATTTTTTAAGCATCTGACAAAGGAAAGTCTGTTTAGAGAAAGATAAATTTTAATTAAAGAACGTCTAACAGTTACACGTGTAAGAGGAAAGTTGACTTGGCAATAAAGACTCCATCAGAGGTCCTAATCTCCACGTTCTCTGAAGGTCACACAGCTTAAAGCTGGATATTGAGCCCAATAACGTGTCAGACGGGTCTCGTTTGAAAGTTATGCTGGACCGCTGCACCGTTTGGAAGGCAATCACAAAAGCCTTATTTTGGTCCTTTTACTATGTAGTAAGCACGTTCACTGATGGTGAAGCAGGACCACCTGGGCCCGTGAGCAGCATGAGGTTAGTAAAGAGGCTTTTTACCCGGCATGAAAACAGCCTCAGCCGCTGCAAGGATTGTGGGGTGTCTCGAGGCGATCAGAAAGGCATTTTTTTTAATTGTAACTTGTTTCCCAAATATCATTGCTTATCCCAGCCCTGAACCGGCCCTGAGAGGAGCCGGTGTGGGTGTGGGTGTGGCTGTGGGTGGAGTCAATGCTAATGAGGGTAGGAAGGGGATTGTTTTGGTGTGGGCGGAGCCCAGGCTGGTGTGGGTGGGGCTGGCCAGAGGTTTTGCAGGCCACACAGAATCAGGTTCCCTGAGGAGGGGGCACTCAGGCCACAGGTGCCAGCCTGCTGTATACATCCTGCCAGATGCTCCTCACCTCAGTCCTGCCAAGAGAGATGGTCAGGCCCATTTTTAAGAGGAGGAAACCTAAACTCAGAGAAACATCTAGAGGAGTCCAGAGCCTGGAATCTGAGCCCATGCTCTTTCCAGAATGCCACACGCACATCATCACAGGAAGTGGCCTGTCCTGGAGTGTCTTCATGCCAACCACCCTTTTGTGCTGTTCTCAGCAATCGGTGCTCAGTGGTCTGGATCCGGAGTGACTTTCTATTACGAAGGTGCATCTTAGCAGACCAAGAGAATCGAACACCATTAGAGACCAATTCCACGGACATTTAAAGCTCTTTGACGAGAGAGGAGTGGAAACACCCCTGAAATTACATGCAACACTGTGTGTGTGAACTGTACATTTTTCAGGAAGGTGGTCCATGATTTTAATTACAGAAACCATTTGAAAGTCAAACTTTGAACACTGTGATTTTATGTTGTATTATTTTTTCTGAAGAAGGAGAACTAGAGATACGTGCAGAGAGCACTGGGCTTTAGAGAAATGACGGAGTACACCTGAGTTCCTCGGGCAAAAAACTGTCTTTTTAAGGATTGTCTTTCCTATCAAAGTAGTCAACGACGTTTGGAACCGCTTCCTTTCTAACTGGATTGTTCCATGATATAATGTGCTTTGGTCGCTTCCTGCAGCCAAATTAAGCAGGTGGTTTCTGAACAAAAGTTCCAAATACAATCTTCTAATAGAAAATAAAATCAAAGCTCCAAAAGTTTGCTTTTTTAGGCAGCTGGTCTTGAAATGGGTTTCACCACGACAATCTCACATATCCTATACCCATAAGTCCACAGCTTTCTGGGGAAAAACCCAGAGCCGTCCTCCTGTAGCCTTTCTAATCCAAACACTACAGCTACCTCGTGATGCCACTTTGGGAAAGTTCTCACACCTGAAAGTATGAATTTCCAGAAAACGAAAGCATGTTATAATTCTGATTTTTTACAGAAAGCTTCTTTAATTTACCCAGCGTTCTCTTCAGCTGAACGGCTGGGGACAAACCTCTCCTCGTCGCTGGGCTTCCATCCTACTGTGTAGAATGAGAGAGCTGCACGAAACCAGACGTTTCACAGCCTGCTGTCCGTCACGGCCCAGCTGCACCATCGAGAGCTGAGGGTTCCAGCCAGCATCCCACACCACTGAAACCAGGCTCTTCAGGAGTGGGTCCCGGGAGTGCACGTGTTAAAAGCTCTCCCAGCGATGGTGAACCAGGCCAGCATGTGGGAACCACGTGACCAGATCATTTGCAAGGCTTCTTTGCAGCCCTGACATTAAATGAACAACCAAGTCGTTATCGGACGGGAAAGGGCACAGCCTCACTCTGGGCCCAGCCCTGGCAGAATGAGGATAAAACAACCCATTTCCGTTCAGCATCAGCGGCACTTGCTATCACATCGCGCAGCTCCATGGGGGAAGGGCGCACAGCTCGGCCGAGGACATCCAGGCAGGGCTGGGTGGAGGCTCGTGGAGGTGGGAACTGTGCCTGAGACGTACTCACACAAAACAACTATTTGTTGTTTCTCTGAGGTTCAAATTTAGCTCGTTCTACTTCTGTTTGCCAAATCTGTCAGCCCCACACCAGTGACAAGTTTTAAGGTGACCTTTGGTGTCCCTACAACTCTCAGAACTTAGCTGCCACAGAAAGAAGCCAGGCGCTTCTTATGTTACTGCGTAAGTCCCCCCATGTCTGGACTCAAAGTCAAACTCCGTGAGCAGAAAGTGAAAAGTTCCTAGTTGGGGGGATCACTGTGGGGTCCCCTCCAGAAGAGTGAAAATGACGGGCTGCCCCCACCTCAGCTTCCTGAAAAGGATAGGTTTCCGCATGACTCAGAAAACGCCTGGTGTTCCAGATGCAATAGAACATACCTCTTCCTTTTCAAAATGAAAACCACGCACTGTTGTGATGCTAGAATTTTTGTTTTATAAAATATGATTTAAGTCTCCTCCAGGCTTCTGTTGATGTTACGATATTGGATACTTTAAGCATGAAGTCATCGTTGAAATAAACAAACCTGTTTCCATAATCGATTTTGGCAGTGACCTTTTTCTTCAGCTCCTTGAGCTCATCCTGAGGCAGGGTTCCAGAAAGGATCTGCGATCGCCACTCAATAAGGTCGTAGATCATGTGTCGCACACTTCGAAACATCTCCCTGTTATCTTGCTACATGAGGGAGGGGACAGAAAAGCCAATGGTAAAGCATTTAGTATAAGATAGCATTGTGATTTTTTATTTTTCAAATACACATGCTGTATACGCTTTATATGATAGGATGCAATATCTATCAAATTGAAAGATGCTTTTAGCATGGAACTGGAACACGTTATATGGGATTTGGTTCCTATCAGACACTAGAAAACTAAAAGGACAAAAAGTAATGCACAATCCTCGGTCTTCCATCCAACATTCCAGGCGACGTGCCACTGAGTCAGGAGGCTGCCAGAGCAGGGTCTGGACTGAGAGCCTCAGAGCCGGCCCACGAGTATCTGGCCCACGGATGAGCAAACACTGACACTCCCGCAGGATCAGTCTGAACCCACACGACTCACGCCCTGCGCACGCTGAGATCTGAATCCCTCGGCCTGGCTGCCAGCTGACTATGGAGGACAAGGGGCCGCCCCCGGCCCCCACCCCCACCCCCCCATCCCTACCCCTACGGCGCAGCACTGTGTTACACTAAGCACACAGAGCAGCTTCTGCAAGAAGCCAACTCAGAGCCTACAAGCTCTCAGTGCTTTTATGCCAAAAGGAAAATGCAAATAAGATGTAAACTTCACACTTTTTATCACTTTCTACATATTTCAAGTGGCTCGATGGTACAAAGAAAAACAACAGTTTTGCAACTGCAAGAGGTCAATTCATCGAGGAGACTAGGGATCGTCCAAAGGAAAAATATTCCAGCGGTTCTTTCTACAAAAAGAAATCTGGGTGAGACTGAAACTTGATAATTTCTAAAAATCATGATCCCTATACAAAATTGCATGTGGTCATTGCTACTTTTCAAAATAGCATCTCCTCTACATATCTGAACCTCTCACCCCACCATTCCTAGTATTTGACCTTCTTTCTAAGAATTTCTAAGGTCCCCACCACCCACCCATCACATAACACCCTAACAGACTGTTCTACATCCCATAAAACTCTAAAATTATCCTGTTTAATTTCTTAAATGAAAACTACATGTCAAAATTAATGATTTGTTGGAAAATGTTTGTTTCCCTCTTAGAAATTCTCCTTGTCCATTTTTCTAAGGCTTTATCAAATATCTAAAATCCTTACTATTTTGCTAACTCATCTACAACCACACAGCAGAGAAAAATTTAAAAACCATAGAAAAATATTACATGCATCTCTCTTTGGCTCTGCATAAACCCAACAACAGAAGTCCGTAAAAGGCAAAGATAAAGCCTTCCAAAGGAAACCAGGGTGGTCGTTAGGAACGCCGACTTCAGGGCTGCATGGCCACGACCGGGCCCACTAACGTACTAGTCAGCATCAACTGTTTGTTTTGCTGCCATATTTTTTGTTTAAAAATTGCTAAGTTGAACGTGAAACACCGACTACAAAATTGCTCAGATTTACACAAAACATTCAGAGCTAGCTTTACGCTCTTAGGTTTTTGAGAACATTTGATGAACAATTACTGCAACTGGTTATTACTGTGCATTTACAGGAAACCGCTGTATAATCAAAAACAACAAGCCTGCCCAGGGTGCAGCTGGGACTTTAGGAAGTTGTCTGTGTGCCCAAGAAATTGACGCACCGCCTTTCCTGCGTCCCCAGCTTCTGTACTGGCAACATTAGCATATGAGGAATCAATGCTTTGAATAGAAGTCCTGGCTAACAAAAGGGAATCTTCTGCAAATAGGAATTTATGTGCAAAGAAACGCCCTGAGGAAATATGAAACGGAGTATGTCACAGCCTCAATCTCCGAATTCATAAGGCTTCTTCCGTGATCAGGTGCGATCAGGAGAACTGGACTCCTGCGCACGAAGCCAGGACATACACTCTTTCACCACCTCTGTAACACACATGCTTAAATCTAAGAGACCATGTGGTTTTTCACAAATGATAAGCGGCATACCTACAGGCAGACAATGGCAAAAATAAACAGTAATCACTGTCTAGTGCATCCACAAATCAGCCCTATTACAGTTTAAGAGCAGGTGTTCATTTTCATGACCAGTATATAAACGTTGATGGTACATCAATGCAGGTCACCTAACCTTGCCTTCAAAAGCCCTAAGCAGCCCCGTTCCCTTTCCAACACAAGGAAGGCGAAAGCAGTGATTGTCCTTTACCGCAGCGAGCACGCTGCACCTGACACAGAGCGGGTCAAAGGGCACACGGCTCCAGAGGGCGAGCAGAATATGAAACGGTGTTGCTTTCTTCGCCCTTTGTAAGTACCGCCCTGTCTCAGAAGGTCTGCCTTGGAGGCTCCCAGGGAAAGAAAAGCATCCTGTTAGTACAGAAAAGGTCCAGAAAGCCCATGCTCCATTTTCAAGCTTTGCCTCACCACCCGGTTCTCTCACCACGTAGAGCTGCCTCCAGATGGTGGACCACTCTCGGAGGGTCGTGGTGACCTCCTGAATGAGCGGGAGGTCGCTGGGGATGACTGTTTCATGTTGCCTGGGAAGAAAGGGGCAAAGGAGAGCTCAGTCCGTGGCTTCGCTAAACTCTGCGAGTTGCACCTTGTAAATTCCAAACCTAGGCCACAGAGTTAAATACAGAGGGTGCCAAAAAAATGTATACACATATTAAGAAAGGAAAACTGTAATAAAATTGTAATACTCAACATAGACCAATAACAAAAGATGAATACAAATCACGTTTGACTTTTGTAATTACAAGAGCTGCTCAGAGTGGTGACCATCGGCGTCCAGACACTTCTGATGATGGCGAACTACTGCTTGAGCAACATCGACCAAAGTTTCCCCTTGTATACATTTTTTCTGGCACCCCCGGTATTTAAGCACATGGGAGAGAACACACACAAATCAGACTGTTTCCACACATACGAATACATGCATCTCTAAGCATGAGAAGTAATGTTTGGACAAAGCCTGACCATGTTCGTCCATTATCCTGTGATGTCCAGCTAAGATAAAGGTGGTAAATAATGTCCTTCAAAAGTCTTCAGAACATCAATCAAGGTCTGGGAAGAGGAAATAGGTTCACAATATGTGTACCCATCTATCTTACACATGCCATAAATTACAACGGTTCTTGTGGCATTAAAATGCAGGTTTAGGTTAAGATGATTTTTACATTTCCATCGTGTATAAAACTCATTATATGATAATACAGGAAGCAGTTATCCGTGACGAACTTTGAGCGAGGTTACAGCTTCCAAATGTCCATAGGAGTTCTATCTGATCCCTAAACCCTGATTATCCTCTTTCTCTTTCCTCTACACCCCAACAGGTTAACGCTTGACTTATCCTTAGCTTGTTATCTATTTGTGCATTGTTTTTATCAAATCAGCCATTGCTTTCCAGTCACAGGCTCTGGGTCGGACACTGTGCTACACGGGACTCAGTATTGGGGACTGTGGGAAGACTGAGTTTGCAGCCACCTGGCCCCAAAGGTCCTGAGCAGGCACAGGTGTCATGAACAGACGAGACTCCACCCAGCATGAGAGACACAGGGATGCTCAAACAGGTCCCAGCTACACAGCTTGATTGGCACGCGGCCCAGACCTGTGGGCAGGGCCTGGACCTTAGCCCACAGGTGGGGTCCAGGCCTTCAATGACTCACAATGATGGGGGGCTCCCAAAGGGAGAGACAACGGAGCGACTGAGAGAAAGTCAGCCTCTGTGGGGAGGTCTGCCATGTGTTCCTGCTGGCGCGGCAGCGACCGGATGGCTGAGGGAGGGGGATGTGCGAGACCACCCCCCACAAAACTGCTTTCAGGAACTAACCTCTGATGGGACATCACCAGTGTGTGTGAGGAGATGCGACTGCTAACACAGCCCTGCCAAGTCTGTACCAAGTCTCCCAGTGAGGATGCTGATGAAAATGTGGTGCAGTGCACTCTGCAGTGTCACCCTGACAAAGCCTCCAGGGAGAATCTCTCTCCGCTCAGTGTGAGCACCTCCATCAGCGACTGGGTCGTTTTCGTCTTACAGATCCTGAGTTTCATGCTGTGTTCAGTGGCCTCTTCCCACTGGCTATTAGAAGCCTGGAGCTCGGTTAAGCTCCGTTCTCACATGGAAAGGGCCTCAGTGTGCGCGCTGTCCCGGGCTCAGGTCTGCATTCCTTTCAGTGGGTCTGATTTGTCCTTGGACGAATGTGTCCAATGGCTCTACCTGTTTAATATGGCTGTGTCGTATCGCCTTTGTAATCACCTTGTTTGTTGCCTGCAGGGGTCAGCACTATAGAGACCCGACAATGCCTGCCGCTCAGGGTGGGTGGTAAAACCGAGAGGAAGAACGTCATGGAGGGCGCGTGGACGTTAAAATACCTTGATGCATACTTTATTCAATCGTTTCCCCATTGGGTGGAAGTTTCAAAACTTTTCCGTTTGTTTTTTTTCCCCTTCCCTTTAAAATGCCGCATACAAAACATTTTATCTGTATAAAAATACCATGCTCCAGGTTATCAGCACTGATGCCCCTAATTATGTTCCTCGCTTTAATGATGTATCATGGCACCGCAGAACCCAAGCCAGTCCTTTCCATACGTTAAAAGTGCAGTGCTTGGAAAGGCAATTTTGTAATCAGCCAAAGGGATGCCATTATGCAGTAATCATATGATTAGTAATTTTATAATTTACATATTTAACTGAGTGTGAAGATGGAGCAGAGACAAACAAGGAAAACATTTTAATGTTCCTTCTTCCCAGTTCACACCTGGCTCTTTGGTTGCCTTTCCTGCCTAACGGGCTCCTGTTCGGCAAGTGTCCTGTTAATGACCGTATACGTCACTTTTATGACCTCTAAGAAACACACATCACGAGTGGACAAAAGTAAATTTTACACGTCCCAATTTAACAACTGTTGCTCTACCCGAAACACCGCTTGTATGGAAGCCTGCAAAGTCTTCCAGAAAAATGGATTCAGAGCTGGGGGCTGTGCAGCCTCGGCCTCGTGGGGTACCTCGTAAGGAAGCATGGCCCTAGGAGGCGTTCCAAAATCAACGTCAGGTTCCAGGGCAGTGACTGCGGTTATGGTGCTGGCTTCAGAGCCATGTTGCACATGACTCTAAATCAGAAGTCCCCTTTTTCTCCCAAAACCCGTCACCGTCAGTCACACCCATTTATCCAACCCCCTAATATTACCCCGCCGTCTGGAAGGGCAGCAAGGCTAAATGTAACAGTCGCATTCTTCAATTAAACATCGAGAGCAGACTCACCCTTTTCCTTCAACTGTGGCTTCTTTAAGGTGAATATATGAAGCAGGAAATATACCCTTTAGGGGAAAAAGAGACAGCGGTTTTTATTACCAATACGAATGCTGATTGCCAATCAAACAACTGTCCCCACAAAGGTGGGGGTGAGGGGTAGAGGTGGCTGGATCACTGTTATATTAATTATGCAAGTCTTAGGCTAAGTCTCACATATAATATATCAAAGAAAACAAAGAAGCGTAAAAGATGGCAACTCAATCAGCTCCTGTTTCAAAGAGGCTGCTGATGTCTTATAAGAAAACAGAAGCAATTTGTTTGCAAGGAAGAAGTTCCACAGGACTTTGCTGGGTCTCTCCATAGCGCCTCCACCCCACGCCCCGCCTCTTGTTTTCACTGCTGACCTGAAAACAGACAGAGCAACAGCCCACTGGTTCCTAAAGATAATTTGTGATGATGGTCTCTGACGGGTCCTCCTTTCAAAATGCTAAACTTGTTATCGAAAGTTAATTTATATCATTGACCATCACGTACGTACTGACGACTCACCTGACCCATGGACTCTCTCGTCAGTCTCCACACAGAGGGGCTACCTGATCAAATACTGAAAGTGGGCGAGTTTCGCCCAATCTGCATGACTACTAGGGGGAGCATGCCAGCTTACATTCACAGTCTCTGCCTCTCCACAGTGCAGGAGGCACGCGGGCCTGACAGAACGGTGCCCGGGACACAGCTCCAGAGGGCAGTGTCGGGCACGGGCTGTGAAGTGCCAGGAGCTTCCCCAAGAATGTTGGTCCTGCTTCCCGTGCAAGTAAAACACCTCCCTTACTGGAGTGGAGCAGAGATGCGCACCTGACGGGCAGGCCGCGGGCACCGGGGCTGGATCGGGGGCAGCGCCACGCAAGCCGGTCACAGCGTCCTGCGTTGCTTGAGAGGCAATACAGCAGAAATCCATTCAGTGGATTGGGGGCTTCCAGGAGCTTCTGCCTGGGGCTCCCCAGCATCTGGCCCCACAGAAACCACTACTTATCATGCCTGGGGAGGGCAGGGCACTCATGCTCCTCTGCCTACCAGGAAAGTGGCCAAATTTCATATGAAGAATTATCACAGCGAGGGAAGGAGAGGCAGAAAGAGAGGCTGAGCAGCAGAGGAAGCCCCGGTCAGCCATCATTCTAGTCTCTCTATTAGTAAGTCCTTGCTGTGGCGTTCTCAGATAAAACTCGGGGCTGCACCCTCAGGAAGGCACCCTAAGTACGGAAGGGCAATCCATGCGGAACAGAGCTTTCCCTGGAGAAATCTAGCCCCCTGTCCAGCTGGCTGAGCCTGCCCTGTTCAGGCCTCACGGCCCCAGGACACTGGATGGGTAGGGTCTGATCCTGGCAGGCCGGGGGTGGGGGGGCCTCGCTCAGGCCACTGGGCTTCAGAAGCCTTAGTTACAGCCTCGGGGCCACAAGAGGGGCCCAGCCCAACGAGGAGATAATGAGAGGCGGAGGTACGAAGCAGAAGTAAAATGAACCATCTGTCAAGCATAATTAGATATTAACATGTATAACTTAACGTGCACAGCACAACCACAGCTTAGAATGGACATGACTTCAAAATCATGAAACGAAACAGCAGAGCCATAATTAGGTTTTGTGGAGCTAAGAACGGCAAGCCACAGCCGAGCTGCCTGCAGGAGTGTCCACCACAATGACCGAGGTGTAATTGCACGTCCGAGCTTCAGAAACTCACACAACCATGCATGCCAGCTGCCCTGGCGAAGCAGGACCCCCTTCTGCCAGCTGACACCGTGTGGTATCAAAACAGTTACCAGCGAGAGGGCGAGGAGCACGCGTGACCTCGGCAAACCTGTTCCTTCATCATCAGCGATAACATAAAGCTGAAAATCACGAGGAGTGTTTTGGGTTTGCTTCCTAAAGTCACTGTACCCACGTCATCGTCTGACACATACTGTGCTTAAACCAGATAAGAATTCCACCAGGGAAAGAGGGTTCCATGCTCTGTGACAGCAGGTCAACACCGAGTCACAGCCACGGAAACGCAGCTGCAAGTCCTGCATGCACATACTGTGCAGAAGGAAACAATTCGGGGCAGCCCACACTTCAGCCCATATATTGTTTAAATTCAGAGAAAGAGATACAGAAGGAAAACTCTTAGGTACAAATGAGACAGAATTGATTTCTTCTCACAGGGTGATTTATGAAGGGGTATGCACTGGGTTTACTAAAAAGGACTTACCTTCTTAGATTTTTTTCTTAAGGTGTAACCTCTGTACCACCCTAAGGAAACACAAAGATGACACGGTTAGTTCAGGAGGGTCCCAGGGTCCTGGCCACACCTTCACATGGTGTGGAACTGCTCTGCAGGACCTGGGACGTCAGTTCGTCACCTGAATTCAATAATCCCAAGGCCCTGGAGACAAACTATGGGGTTTTGTAGAGAGCATCTCAAAGCTATCCTGGGGCCTGGCTAGTAGCCCGAGCAGACAGGCCTCGCTTCTTCATCTCCGTCAGCCACACATGGCCTTGAAGGCATCAATTTTAAGTCAGGGAGCACAATTCTGGGAGGAGGGATGTCCTCCTGACCGCTCATCCCTGAGTAGGCTCCCTGAGCCCGCATTTTCCTCTCGCTCCCTCTGTCAGGCTTGGATCAGGGTCACTGCCAAGTACAAATACCAGCATCCTAAGATCATCAAGAGCTGCTCCACACAGAAATGCTATTGAGAGCTGGGACCCCTCCCTCTTCAATTCAGAGGAGCTGTGCCTGCCCTGGGGTGGCCATGACCTCACAAAGTGCTTCTGTGACCAAGGCGCAGCCCTCAGCAGGAAGCAGCAGCCCAGGAACAGGGCCCTCCTACCCCTGGGCTCTGGCCTGGGCTCAAGTTCCCATCCCTCCAGGAGGGAGCGAAAGACAATAGGGAACGCAGAAGACATACACGCTGGAACTGTGGGCATAGATGACATGCTCAGTGGAAGCAACCCTTCAATGACAGACCAGGCCTGACTACACCCTTGGCACCCCCACTCAGGCTGAGGGCAGACACTGTCCCCCAAATCCCTGTGGGTCCACGGCCAGTCACCAGCCGCCCAACAACTCCACGGCAGCTTGACGTCAGCTTCCATATCCTGAACACGCTCAGTCGCTTTAGGTCACCTCGCTGGGGGCAAGTCCATCCAAAGCTCAGACACGTTCCGACTCTGCGCCACTGGAGGAAGGAGACAGGCCAGAGGACCATGCGAGCCCGTGGAAGGCGCAAGGTGGGAAAATTTGCAGAGTAGCCACATACGGGTTTCATACAGTGTCAGAAAATCAGGCCTTAGAAACCAGGGGTGGGAATCAGCTCAGAAAGCGAACATGGGCCCAATCCTCGGCAGTGGCAGCTCCCCCTTAAACAGCAGTCATTTCCACAACCAGAGGTGAACACCAGAAAAGGGGGGAGAAAATGAGCAGGCTCCTCGGGGGATTCTTATACAGATGCTTCGTGGGCAGTCAGGACAGGAGCTGCACCCCTGCACCCGCCCGGGCACCTTGCGGAGAATCTGCTAAGACCCAGACGACCAGCTGCACCCACTGCACTTTCCCGACAGGGGACACACGGACGGCGTGGGGGCACCACAGACACAGAACATCTAGGCTGCAGCCGCAGTGGGAGGGTCATCGCCTGAGAGCCACGGTGTCCACCTCCGCGGTCCCCACGTGCCAGCCCAGCCCAGTGACACGGGGACAGTGAGGAGGTGAACACAGCTGGCTGGTCAGAGCTACATTTACTCAGTGGCAAGGACTGTCCTCGTTCCTGTCACTGTGTCCTCCCTGCATTTTCAGGATTAACATACCCTTTCTTTTCTGAAACTGACAAGGGACTAATGTCCTAGAATATTCAAGGAAATGCTGCAAAGTGACAAGAACAAGACAGAAACCAGGTAAAACGTAAGGAAAGTTCGTAAACAGTGCATAGAAGAAGAAATCCAAAAGATTTACATATAAAGAAAGAGATGCTCAAACTTAAACCGGAGAAGTGAAAATTTAGAAAACAATGTTACTGCACAATTATTAGCGTGGTCGAGGCTGGGATACCACAGGACACGCGTCGCCCCTGGGCACTGTGGGTGGGAGTGCAAACTGGGGCCGTCAGTGTGGGGGCAGCTGTCCCTCCTCATCCACAGTCTCTATCCCCACACCTTGTGACCAGCGACCAGCCTCCTGGGAAAGCACGCCCACCCACGCCCAGTGGGACAGACATAGCACGCATGGCAGCGCGATCCAGGTGGCAGCAGCGGGGGCAATGCGAGTGCTCGTAGCTGGGAGGGCGATTAGTAAACCGTGGGGAGCGCCCACAAAGCAGTGAGAGCCTCGGACTGAACATACTCAGACAACAGGAGTGCATCTTTGAGTACAGCACCGAGTAACAAGTCAGAAACAGAATCAGAGTTACAGCCAACCACACTGACACACATGAAAAATACACACACGCCAACCCGTAAAAGCACACAAGCAAACAGACAGCCCCTCCACACACAGCAGACGGGTTTTCTGTGAGAAGGGTGAGCTCTGGGGAAATCTTTTCTTTGGCGTGTTGATAGCAGATGGCAGTGTCTTTTTTCAGTGGCCTCCCTGAGCAAAAGGGAAACCTAAGGGTTTCCTCCCCGAGACTTTCTGCATGATTTTTCTTTCAACCAACTGAGCCCACCAGACACCGCCCTAGCCAGAGCAAACCTAGAGATAGACTGGGCCCAATTTTCTGCCCTCCAAGAGCTCAGAAACTGCAGGACTCCCCCAGACAAGCAGGGGGCAAACCACAAACCCGTTGCAGGGCAGAGATGGTGGTTGGATGAAAAGGATGATTTCCTGATCTTTGTGCAAAGCCTGCGCGCTCCCTCGGGAACAGCCTTCAGCCCCAGGAGACCCTTATGGAGATGGGTAAGTGGCAGCCTTGGCAGGACTGGCACATCGTTAGCCTGGCCTGGCGGGAGTCACAGAATAAACAGCTGTGATCTCGGTTCACCCCTCCCGTCCCCTTGACCCCAGACATGGCCTAAAGGCAGGAACGTGCCCTCAATGACCCCTCAAAGCTCTCCCACCTTCAGAGTGGCCTGTAAACTTCCGGTTTCAGGCTCCAAGCCTTCATGAGCCTGAGAGAAATGAACCATAACTTGAAGGTAAATTTGGTTTTTGAACCTTAATATAGAGAGTGATCCTTTAGAAATTATAGCCTCGGGAGCAATCGCAGTAATATCCTGAAAAGGATCACATAGAAAAAGAAAATCAAATTTGACAAACAGAAATAAATTTTCTTAGAGGAAAAGTGTGTGGGGGGGGGGGGCGGGAAATGCCAAACTCTAATACAATCCGTGAAATTCAAACAGAACAAGAGGAAATAGTAGAAAAACAATTATTCCCTTTATAGTTGATGGTAAGAAAATCACCCAGTTTCCCCAAGTCCAAGCTAATTCCCCGGATGTATTTCTCCAACCAGGTTCTTATTCAAACCAAAAGGCAGTTTCCAAATAAGGGAATTCATTTCACATCAAAGGGTCTTTACGAAGACTGGAGTATTTTAATCAAAATGTACAGGAAGGACTAGCCAGCAATTAAACGCTTACTGAAGAGTCCTTTCCCATGTGGGCCAAACGTCAAACGCCTGCTATCCTGTTTTTGTCCTTTTTTAAGTTAAATGTATAACATGGGCCACTGACTCGCCTAGGGATTCCTTTCCTTTAAATGGGACATTCTTCTTGCGAAGCAAAGGACAAGAAGTGGCAGTCCCCACATACCCAGGCTGCACAGGAAACTGCCCTCTATTCAGGAATGACGTCACTGCCCTGTGTTTATTAACCAGGATTTCAGCTTCGACTGACCCGGGGGCAAACATAAAAGACATAAGAGCATTTTTCCCTTCAGATCAGAAAAGTGTCTGAGATGAGAGACTTGATCCTTAACCTTGAGTTAATTTCTCTCTGTTTCCTCTCAGCCACTGGCAATATATACTGAGAGCAGATAAGGCAATACAACTGTCAGCTGTGAAAATTGAAACAAGCAGAAGGCGCCCGTCACAACTACTCATTCACTTACGGACCAGCTCTGTTTGTGCAGCGTTACATCTGCTTCCAGGCATCCGCCACTAGAGCCATTTTTTCTCCCCAACAGGACTGGTGCAGGGTAAAGGGTGCAAAAGGAATGGAATTCCACGCCAGCGCGCACCTCACGGGCACATGAAGGACATGGACGCGGGCATTTTAAGAGGCTGCGCCCAGCACAGGAAGCCATGAGGGGCACTGGGGCAAGCTGCAGCTGGCCGAGCGCGTAACAGCTCACTGGGCTTCACTCTTGTGCAAAGTGGATTTCAGAGACTTGGAGTCTGAAGTTCAATGTGTTGATAACTCTGGGACGCCTGCAATGCCTCTCCCACCCCCACCTCCTCTTTGGACGGGTTTGGCGAAACCCAATCTAAAAGCAATTTTGCTGTTGAAATTATTGACTTTCATCAGTTGGTTTTCTTCCTGTGCTGTCAGGGAGCTACCCCTCCGAGCAGGAAATAAAGCCACCAACGCTGAAACTCAATCTTTAAAAAACTCCCGGATCCGAGGACTCGACAAATCCAGCCTGTCATCGCCACTCTTCCCTGCAACTATCATCATGGTACAAAACGAAAGGTGGCCCGTTCAAACAGCCTACATATGAAAAACAATTGCCTGAAAAACCAAGGACATCGAAAAACCACTGTCACTCACAGTATATTTATTGGATAATTAGAGCAATTGCTTCCCTGGACCACGTCCCACATAGCTGTGACAATCTCTGTTCACTCCCAGGAAAATGGGGTCACCGATTTATAAAAAAAAAAAGGAAACAAAATAAGAAATGACAATTTGGGTTCCTCTGAGGATGCTGTTAACAAATCTGTGAGCATAAAATATCTCACATTCCCATCAAACACCTCAAAGCAATGACTCAAACACTAAAATATCTTAAAAGTATTTAAAGAAATTATTTCAAGTGGCCAGTTGTTAACAGTCAGAATTTATATACATTTGCAAATAAAGAATCAATGTTTTTTTGGTTTTTTGTTCTTAATGAAAACAGCTTTTTCAACAGAAAACTTTACAGGTTAAAAACGGGAAGTTTTAGTTTTAATTTCATCTTAAGAAAGCATTATTTAAGTAACGGAGAGCCTGGTTACCACCCTGACCTGAAACGGTATCCACCATGCAAGAATATGGGTCACATGAGACAGGGAGATGCATACACCTGCTTCCTTAACAGGGTAATGCTTTGCCCACTGAGCATCAAAAAAAGCGTGCTAACTGCCCCCAAAAGATAAGAGAACAGATACCAAAATGTATACGCACCTTCATATGTTTCCAAGATGTGCACGGTGTCTCCTATTTGTAAAGAAAGTTCATCCACTCCCCTGGCATCATAGTTATAAAAAGCTGAGAAGAAAGAAAACAGGGTAAGACAGTGTTAGTGGAGGTTGAAGTCACAGTGCTGGGCTGTTCCTGCTTGTTTTTAATATTAAACCATATTCAGACTTCCCCTGGATCAGCCTCTGACACCACAAAGTAGCCTTTGCGTTCAAGAGACAAAAATAAACAGTGATCATTTAAATAGAAGAGATTTATAACTACGCAGGATACCAGACAACCATAAGTGGTTTTTTTTAAAATTGTGGTAAAATATAATACATGATGCAAAATTTGCCTTTTTAACCATTTTTAAGTTACAATTCAATGGCATCACTTCCATTCACAATGCTGTGCTACCAACACCACTATCAATTTCCAAAACTACTTCATCACCCCAAAGAGAAAACTCATACCCATTCACTAATACGTCCCATTCCTCGCTCACCCCAGCCCAATAACCTGAACCTACTTTCTGTCTCTACGAATTCAGTGACTCTACCTTTCTTACATAAAAGGGATCACACAGTATTGTCCTTTTATGTCTGGCTTCTTCCATTTAGCATGTTTTCAAGGTTCAGGCACATTGTACCACGTCTCAGAGCTTGATTCTTTTAGTGGCTGCATAACGTTTGTAACAGGAAGAAAGCTGAGGTATTGTTAACGTTTTAATGATCACTTCACATACTACTTCTATTTCCATTAATTAATTTTTTTTTTATTAAATGACTTTTTTCTATGCATCCATTACATGTGGACGGAAAACTCTTTAAAAACCAAATTGGTAAAAAATATATACTGGGGTGCCAAAAAAATGTATACAAGTGGACATTTTGGTCAACGTTGCTCAAGCAGCAGTTCGCCACAATCAGAAGTGTCTGGACACTGATGGGAACCCTTTGAGCACCTCTTGTAATTGCAGAAGTCAAACGTGACTTGTATTCATCTTTTGTTATCGGTATACATTGAGTATTACAATTTTAATACAGTTTTCCTTTCTTAAAATGTCTATACATTTTTTGTCACCCTCTGTATATATGTTGCTATTAAACCAAAAAGCTAGGTTACAATCAAATAGGCAAAAATATGTCCAATATTAAGAAGAAATCCTTAAAACTGGCAATACTAGATGAATCTCTGAAATCCCGAATCTTTATGCTGACATAAAGCCGTTCCTATTCTAGATAAGCCCTTAAGAAATCATATCATGAAACTCAGACTACATTTGTACTCAAGCATTACGGGATAAAACAACTGTTACAGTGAAAAAAGGATGTTAGAAAGTGTTTGAGACCCAAAAATTATTCAATTTTTCTACTCTCAATTTAAAAAAAATACAGTGATACAGTCATGTCCTTTCTTCCCAATGGTTCTCCTAAAAAGGCATCATACTCGGTGGAAACTCATCTCCAAACCCCTGATCAAGCTCTCGCCCATCCTGAGCACCCGCCAGACCAGGCCACCCTGAAGTGCGACCTTTATGTGACCATCTCTAAAAGCATCCTTGATCATCTCCCGTGCAAACTCCCCCAGCAAGTATGGCGGGTCCCTTCCAACCACACACGTCAGTCCCGGTCCCGCCTTCGCCCTGAAGGGAGGAAGCTGGCCTGCCCCACACCGCGTGTACCGACTTATCCTCCTCGCCAAAAGGGTCTTCCCATAGGATGCCATCTCTTCCAGAAAGCCAGGTCCGAGTGTGGGTTGGCTTTGTGAACCCCCTTCTCAAAACATCCCCGGCACCACAGCCCTCTGAATCGGTTGTCAGCTCCAGGACTGAGCCTCCTCCAGCTGTGACGGCAGTCAGACTATCAGGCCCAGGCGGCCTCCCTGCTGTGATGTCCGTAGTCTCCGGAGCCAGACAAAACCCAGAGCAAGGCTTCTACCCCAGGACCTGGGTGACCTCCAGCAAATAACCCACCCTCCCCATTTTCAGCTTCCCTGTCTGTAGGATAAGAATATTGAAACTTACACCTCATAGGAGTGCATGCATTTTGTGTCTTAAAGAAAATAACGCGGCCAAAGGATTTGGCGAATTGGCGCAAAGGGGTCGCACAGTGAATGCTCAGTAAATGGCAGAGGCTCTCACTGTGGCTGAGAGGGTTACTTTGCACTGCAGCAAAGACGTCTGTCCATACCAGAATCCTTTCAAAAAGCCAGAGCAAGCATATGATCACATGCTCGCAAACATCCGAATACATCGAAAGCCATACCGATGCAGACAACTCCATTTTCCCAGGTATTTCCTGGTATTTCCACCAAAATTCATAAAAATGTAATGTCCTCAACGGACATAAATGATTATTAGTAGTTACTGAAGTTTATTTAGCATTTTATGGTGACTCTTTAACAAGAAATAACTGCTTTAGGTACAGGAAACTCAGAGCACGCCCTGCCTTCCAGCTCCCCGTAACCATATTCCCAGGCCTTGAGGAAACATACACACATTTATCACAGCTCTGACCAGCATCCCTGCCAGCGTGTCTACTCTGTTACAGACAAGGAAAAAATACACACATCAGAAATAATAAAAATAAAATAAAATGAGCACATCCACTCTAACGAAACACATTCAGGTCTGCGTGACTCTGGAAGGCACATGTGCAAAACCCTTTATGTGACGGCTCCCTCCATCTCTGAAGGAGGCAGACAAAAGCAGCTGTGAAAGTCTCACACACGAACACAGAAACTCCCCATTTCACTATGACATGAGCCTTCAAGACCCCTGATTTTACAGATGAAGGAAAAAAGGGCCCCCCAGGCTTTACGCGTGTGGCCCCTGCCGTTTGTCCTTCCTAGTATTACTGCCTAAACAGTCCCATATTAAAGGCAAATCAACTGTATAAGATTACTGCACAGGGGATGGGAGGGAGGGAGGAAGTGAGACAGATAGAATCACGCCCCCCCCCCCAGAGTCACCCACATCCGAATCCCAGAAGCTGCAAATATGGCACCTGACATGGCAGATGTGATTAGGGTCATTGAGATGGGGATGCAGGTCCTGGGTTATCACGTGGGCCCAGTGTGATCACGAGGGTCCACATAAGATGGAGACAGGAGGGTCCGAGTCAGAGAGAAGGAGACGTGATGATGGAAGCAGAGGCCGAAGTGAGCAAGGAAGGGGCCGCGGGCCAAGGAATGTGGGCACCTCTAGAAACTGGAAAAGGCGAGGGGGCCGTGGACTCCCACCCAGAGCCCCAGAAGGCACACACCCTGGTTGTAGGACTTCTGATCTCTGAAACTGTTGAGATTATCAATGCGTGTTGTTTAAGCCCCGAAGTCTGTGGTCATTTGCTACAGCGGCAGTAGGAAACACACACAGGGGGGTGTGGGGGAAACAATGGGAACGTGGTATTTGTGGTGTGTTTATTTATTCACTGCTTAAGGCAGCTGGCGCAGGGGTCCCAGCTGCAGGGCTCCCACCTGCAGGCATCTGAATCTGACCAGTCTGTGGCTGAGGTTCCTCAATTCTTGGGTGATAGAAAAATGAGGACCATGCAGTGCATTTTTGTTAAATAAACCCAAAAGGATTCGATGTAAAAGATTATTCTTCATTCTGATTTTTTAACCTTGCAAAGACGCCTCTTTTGGGGGAGTGAGATCCGACAGAAAGAGCAAAAGTGTCTTCTCCTTTATGAAGGATGGTGACAGAGGGCATCTGACAGAAGCACAAAGATGTCAGCCTTTTTGCAAGTCACCCAACTTGTCTTCTTTATTTTTCCAAAGTTAAGATCTGGGAACAGCTCCACAAGAGAATATGGTCACCCAGTGTCCACGGACATCTTTGGAGGGTGTGGCGTTCACCCCCGCTCTAGCTGCTGAGCTATATACCTCCTCTTCCGGTCCATTTATCCTTCTACTAGCCTGGCTGCGACGCATGGCACTGGGTACGCACGCACAGTCGTGTCAATCTCTTAATCCTGGACTGCAGAGTCCAGTGTAGAAGCATGACTTGTTGTGAAAAGTGACACGGGAACGGATGCAGGGACATACGCAACACGACACTTCTTTCCCAGGATGGTGTTTTTTTCTGTTTCTGAAAGAGCAGACATTAGCCTGGGGTGCATGAGCACCTGGATCTTGTCTAAGTTGGATTTTGTCTCCAAATTAACGCTCCAGTCTGTTCCCACACAGCACATATGCATCAGAGATGTGAACAGGGACAGTCATCAGCTCTGCGCAATCTCCTGATCACCCTAAAAACGTCTGCCCAGAGATGCCAGGAAAGAACCTCCGCTCCTAAATCACAGAGAGGGCTTCCACTGCACCCACATTAATAATACTGATGGTGATGATACTACAGACGAAGCTGCTGCTGCTGATGGTGTGATGCTGGCATACCATGATGGTGATGGTGATGGTGATGGTGATGGTGATGGTGATGACGGTGATGGTGACAATGGTGATAGCTGTGATGATGATGATGGTAATGATGACGGTGATGATGATGGTGATGGTGATGACAGTGGTGGTGATGGTGATGATGGTGACGCCAGCGGTGATGATGGCAATAATGCTGCTGCTGTTATACTGACTGACATTTAGTGAGTCTATTCTCCGGGCTAGTCAGTGAGCTAAGAGCTTCACATATTCAGACTAATTTAACCTTCACAACAGTCCTGTGAGGTGGACACATAATTGTTCCCATTTCCCTCATCAGAGTTTACAGCGGCGCAGAGTTGCCCATGTGTGAGCAGCCAGCAGAAGGGCTGTACAAAGCCAGAGGCCAGCACAGATCAAGGGACAGAGTGACAAAGTCCTGCGTTATCCCATCCTCACCACTCGGCCAGAGTCGGTCATCTCTGAGCCTCAGGTTGTACTCCTGGTGGCTACCTGGTAAATTACAACATCCAGCTTGGAGTTCCCTGACAGGTAAACAGGCTGTGCATTCCTAAAGTCCACCAATGTCTAAAGCATCATGCTCACGGAGTCCCCTTTCCTTACACAGGAGAAGCCAAGGTGGGGTGATTTCAGAAATGCAGGGTTGGTTTAACATCCAAAAACCAATCAGTGTAATTCACCACATTGACAGA